ACTCCACCATGTGAAATATGTAAACAAAAAGCACGAATGATATGTAACTTTTGATTATACACATAGCTTACCTAATATTGCATATTTGTTATCTAGCAAAGGTTCATTGGCCCAACTATAATATAATATCATATACAGGGTGTAAAAAAATCTATGACGAAGACATAAACTGCGCATTCTATACATCCAAACAAGTCATATTACAAAATATTATGGGTGGGAAAATATGTATTTTTAAGTTAAAAAAATATAGTTTTTTTTCCAGTACGCAATGTATAGCGCGGCGCGCTACTGTAGCGCTACGCAAACAATGTGCCTGTGCGTATGTGTGTGCATGTGTGTAAGTGCGTCGATAAAAAAAATTCTAAATAACGTTTTGAAAATATTAATGTATAAATCTTGAAAAAAATATTTTGGCTTTGATCTTTAATATCTCCATAACCATAAATTTCCCAGGTATGGTCAGCAAGAAAAAAAATATCATAATATGTCATGATGTGGAAAATAAGTGGCCTTCGACTTCGTTATAGGTTTTTTTTACACCCTGTATATTATGGTATTTGTGACATTCCATGCGCTTACATCACAAATACCAACAATACCATAATTGTAAGAGAAAACTGACAATTCTTAGTTTGCTGTACCGCTTTTATACTTTATCGACTCATTAATGATTTGAGGTATGAGTAAACAATGCACATTATAGAAAATAGTAGTTTAAGCAAAGTGTTAACAAACCGTCAATGTATCGAATACGACTGGGATTATGTCAAACTAATAACGTAGGAAGCACTGGGCAGTGAAAGCGTCAACTGATTAGTATACGTGATACTTAAGCCCGTATTACAGAATGACAACTAAAGGTTGATCTTTACTTGAGTACAGTTAGAAAGGGATGTCGCTTTGTGCTATATCTAGTGACATCCCTTTCTAACTATGCTCAAGACTAGATCAATCACTGAGTATCTTTCTATAGTACGGGCCTTAGAAACACAAGCATAGGCAGTTATGAGAGTATAATATCAACGAAATCCGTGTATCAAATCTTAGAATCGTTTCGCATTGTTGTCTTTTGTGTTTGGGCTCGCATTCGTTTTCCATCGTACACCACCATTATTCACATTAAGTGGACAGATCTCGGGTCAGACCCAGGCACAAGAAAAGCACAAAAAGTGCCCGCTTTATCCAAGCATGATAAATCTACTTCAAATCCGAGAATAGCGTCTTTTATGAAGGAAATTGAAATAAACCGACCGTGCGGATAACGGCTAAGTAAGATCGGGATCCCTTTAGAATATATTGGTGAATCATTTTCATTCATCAACTGGGTCCTTCCGTGAACAAGTATAATAAATCTGTCATTTAGCGAAGGACTGAAAAAGAATTTGCGTATACAGAGTCTCGTTTGTTTACATAGTGCTCCACCGTCGTCGTCTTCTATTTTCCTTAAGCATTTTTGTTCTGTTTGAATAAATACATAAATACAAATACTTGTATATATACACACCCATACAATCTCACAATCTGTGTTACTTTGCAAAGGGACAAGAAGCCAAAGAAAACGCAAACGAATAGATTGCCAATGAAAGGTTTTCTTTTTCTAATTTTCCCCTATTCTATATAATAGATTGTTCGGGAGATACGTCCCTATTTTTAGTGGCGGAGCAGAAATCGAGCGTGAAATGGTTACCACACGAAGCGGTTGTCTCGCGAACAAACGGAATGGCGGGTGGCGTCCCCGCCGGGGCGTTTGGCGGAAAATTGGCTGGCGCGCGTTACCCGGTCGCACTGTAGTGTAGTGTACAGTACACCGGCTTAATAAATAATACAAAACGGCTCCAAGCGGACGTGACAAGCTACCTCTGCGTTTTAGCAATTGTTCTCTTTGTTTCCATATAAGGATGACGTATTTTATAAAACTGATCCTTGTAGTAAAAGAACGAAATTATTAAATGTAATAATGACAGTGAGCTTTTTAAGAGACTACAAAAATAGTGTAGTGGTTTCTAACCACTTTCTGTGTTCCGTGGCTAATGCTATTTATCTATATATAAAACTACACTTCGTGTTTTTGTATAAATCATGACACAAGTGTTGACACATAAGCCATAATACGAATTACTTAAAACTACGGCGGGGTTGGAAAAGCATCATACTCGTAAGTTCGATAATTTAGACAAAATATAAACGCTCACCCCTAATTAGGTACCGTTTATTTTAAAAGTGAGTGCTGTAGATAAGTTATTGTTATCACACTAATATTATAAAGGCAAAAGTTTGTGAGTGTGTGAGAGTGTATGTTTGTTACTTCTTCACGTCAAAACGGCTGAAGCGATTTTAATAAAATTTGGTACGGAGTTAGCTGACACCCTGGATTAACACATAGGCTACGTTTTACTGCAGGAAAATATCCCTAATAAACCGCAGGTAACACCGCGGGGCACAGCTAGTAAGTTATGTATCAAATCCTACTAGTAATATCTGGGATAAGGGTCTAAACGAAAAGAACAAAGCAATCCTCATAGGCATTATGTTGACGAGCCGATACGCCGCGCCGTGAAACTTCGACCGTTATGATTTTCATCACAGGCCAAAGCAACGAAAAAATCCTTTTCATTTTATTTACGGTTATTTTACTTTTTTCTATATAATATTGGGTATTTAGGCCGATATTGAGTACCTATATATAAAATAAATAATTACTGAAATATTTTAAAGATATTTGTTTCTTAGGTTTTCACGCACATCACTCATTAAATACTAGTTTTTTACGGTAGTTAGGGTCAAATAAATAAACTCAAAATTACAAAAAAGAATTTTAAATAAAGTACTTACTTTATTAACTAAATTAAATAATAAATTCATACATAGACAATAAAATTTTAAAAATCTTCCAATGAAATAAATATCCAAACGCTCAATAAAAGTCTTTCGAAGGTAGCTCGACAAAGTAAATAAAAAATCATTATTCTGACGATGCAGACCTGAAAAGGCTGCGAAACGTCAATAAATAAATATTTTTTTTAAAAATCTTCCAATGACATAACCGAACGCTCAATAAAAGTCTTTCGAAGGTAGCTTGACAAAATTAAATAAAAAAAAACATTATTCTGACGTCTATAAATATAAAGTTTCGTGCATTAATCCGTTAAAACTAGTTTTATTTTAAAGATGTTTAAAATGTAGGTATAGCCGAATTCGTGTTTTGATAATTAATAATTACACTACACCACATAATTCATAATTGGCTACAATGAAATTCCGTGTAGAGTTCAGTAGCCCATCACTAAACGTATATGGCAGTGTTTATTTAATTTCAGGACACATCTGAACAGCATAACAGCGTTTACTGTCAAACTGCGAGTATATTTTACGTCTCAAAACGGTGACAAACAAGCGTGTGGCCCGCCTAATGGTAAGCGGCCATAGTCTATAGTCGCTTGCAATACCAAAAATGTCACTCGCAGCGTTGCCTTTCCTGACCCTATCCTCTAACCTGTGGAGCCCTGGAACCTTGCTCACCGACAGATACACAACCCCACCAAAAATGGGGCGGGGATATTTTACTATGGTCTTCAGTAAGGTGGAGATACTTCCCTGGAAGGGGCACTCCAATTCGAGCGGAAAATCGGCAATGCCCTTACCTCTCTTTATTACAAAAAAATTAGGCAGAGAAGTGTGAGAGAGACGAAGCGATTGTGCGGCAGGCTGGTATTTTATGGGCTATTCATCATCATCATCAGCCTATTAATGTCCCCACTGCTGGGGTACAGGCCTTCCCTATGGATTGAATAGGGATATTGGGCCATGACCCATCACGCGGGCTCGGATTGGCGGGTGCTAACGACTGCAGATGCAGTCGGGAGCAACGGCTTAACGTGCCTTCCGATGCACGGAGGAACTCGAGATAGAAAATTTTTGATCACCAATCCAATGACCGACCACTGCGAAAGTTGCTTAACTTCAACGATCGCAGCCGAGCGCGCTAACCACCTGCGCCATCGAGCTCCTCTATGGGCTACATCCTACGTCATTTTAGAATTCTAGAGATTTCAAATCCATGTGACTGTTATCACATGTGATCTCAAATACAAAAACAAAGAGTTGCTCTAAAATCAAAAATTGTTTTCAGCACTGCATCCGGATTTCAGGTTCTACTTCCATCGCCTGGGTGCTTGTTCAGCAGTTATGAAGTCCTCACCAAACATCCTTACTTTGCCAGAATGCACACATTTTTCTTCGCGGTTTTTTTGAAGGATCTGGACTGTAGAAGGGTGAAACACATGCTGGCAAAGAATTCCACTTGCAAACATTAAGACTAAGAATTTAGTCACCAAATTTCTTCGATCGTGTAGGCGTCGTTGACACAGTAAGGCAGTAGCAGTAACATAGACCAGCAGGTGTAGTCCTCTGAAGGTTTTCCTTCCTATCATATAAGGGATAAGAGAGAATAACTCGTCATAAAACTCGCCATGGTATAGTTACATCCTATATCTATGGGTATAGTAATAGTCAATAGAATGGCGTAACTGTAGAGACTCCAGTACCCTTAGCACATCCAATTCGATCTAGATACGCATCAAATGTTAAGATCTAATTCATCCATTCGAATTCAATATAGGTTCGTGCTAAGCAAAGACAAAGTACTATAGCGAGATGCTTTGTCCGAGGTGCTAAGGGTACAGGTTGTTAGTTACCTCTACGTCGCGTCGCCAATGATGTCGAAAGCGCGCCGCTGCCGCTGCAACCATAACCAAAGCATCGCGTAAGTAAGTACCTAGTGGAGCCATCTCAGAGGTACGAGCATTATGCAAGACCGAACTTGTGTCTTGTACTGTACAACCTTAGTGTACAACAAGAAAAGTTGCTCAGGTGTGAAAAAATGCTCTGCACCCTAAAATCAAGACTCCAAGTTTGCTTGAGGCTGTTTTGCTTACGATTTTTATTTCCATACAACACAGAATCAAAAAGTTTAATTAAGTTTGTCTTTGGTGGTTTATATAAACTATGTTTGTCAATGTCTTAATATTTTGAAGTGTTTTTAGTTATCACATCAGCAAAACAATAGTTAGATTTATATAATAAATTAATACTAATTCCATTTTGAGCTATTATGTGCTGATTTACATTTTCTTATTATTTTTTTATTTAATTACATTCAATATCAGCAATTTTCCATAATAAGGTCATAATTCCTATTCATAATGTAACAAAAAGTGTTGATGTATTTAATGTGTAGGTACCTACCAAAGTACCAATTGCTTATCGTCAATTGAGGTTATGATTGTATCCGAACAGTAAAACATGAGTATTGACAATTTTGGTATTACTGCTCACATGAAACTACCTAAATCAGAAAATATCGGTGCGAAGAGAATGATATCTGCGTTATCAGCCATAGCTCTTGAAATGGAAAAGTAAGTGAGTTGAGTTGGTAAATACATTTCGATTCTTTAAAGGATTCTATTAATATCAAAAATTTTCAAATTGAAGAGACATCAGCGATACCAGAGTATCACTCGCTGCCGACGTGGTTACATCCCCTTCCCCGTAGACTCTTGGAAACAATTGCTGTCATTGACAGAATGGTGGTGTTATTTATATACTACACGCACCGCGAGCCGAACCCCGAGCCGTACCCATTCGTGGACAAATCCGTCATTGCCCACACACAACACGAGCGACGAGTTGCAGTCCAGTCGCTTGTGTACTTTGGTGAGCCTCGCGCGTATCGTTCTTCCCTACCATGCCACCGGTGCTTTCCAAGCGCACAAAAGTCGCTTTAGTAGTCAGTGCAATACTTTTAACGGAGAATAAAAAGAAAAAACGCGTTTGAACAAAGGAATGGCTGAAACAACGAACAAAATATACTCATTTAAAATTGCTGCAATGCATTCAGACCTGTAAACCACCTGTTTCTCTTTAGTTTTCTCTTTAAACAGCAGGATAAATTCTTGCCAAAACTCTTATCTCTACTCTCAAAATGACATCAAATTAAGCGTATTATGATCAACTCTTTAAAATGATATTAATTTGATATCAACTTAAATGAGTATTATGTTCAACTTTTTGACTTAAAACAGTATCGCATAAACGTCAAAAAAGTGATACAGACGTGATACAGAATTAACAAGTTAAAAGGTCGTTCTGCGTGCACGCACTACAAATGACTGACTAGTTCACTGATAAATCTGTGCAAGCACACACACGTACGGATTTGTACGGCGCGGCTGGGGTGCCCCGAGCCGCGAGCCGCGCTCACCAATACATTCACACGCGCCGCTTTCACTGTTTTAAGTCAAAAAGTTGAACATAATACTCATTTAAGTTGATATCAAGTTAATATCATTTTAAAGAGTTGATCATAATACGCTTAATTTGATGTCATTTTGATATCGCATTTTTCGGACAGCATAATACGTAATGTGAAATTGACATCAAAACAATATCACAATTAGCGAACATAAAGAGCTAATTGTATCTCTTCTAAAAGGGGTTTATCTCTTCTATGCATGTCCTCGGCATAGCTCGTTCTAAATAGTTCATTACTAACCCGAAACGAGCCATTTTACTCTTTTTTATTAAAAAAAAGGAATCTAATACAGAAAAACCACCTCCTAACTTGTTAAGTCTGTATCACATTTTTGACGTTTATGCGATGCTGTTTAATGTCAAAAACATGAACGTAATACGCATTTAAGTTGATATCATTTTAAAGTTGATGTCATTTTGATATCGTATTTTTCGGAGAGCATAATGAGTAATTTGAAATTGACATCAAAACAATATCACAATTAGCGAGCATAATTGGCCTGCAGTTGTGTTGTTTGTATCACGAACGAGTAAACGAGTATAATAACATGTCGTTCGGCGATCATAAAGAGTTTTGGCAAGAATTTATCCTGCTGTTTAAAGAGAAAACTAAAGAGAAACAGGTGGTTTACAGGTCTGAATGCATTGCAGTAATTTTAAATGAGTATATTTTGTTCGTTGTTTCAGCCATTCCTTTATTCAGACGCGCTTTTTCTTTTTATTCTCCGTCAAAAGTATTGCACCGACTACTAAAGCGACTTTTGTGCGTTTGGAAAGCACCGGTGGCATGGTAGGGTAGGGAAGAACGATACGCGCGAGGCTCAGCAAAGTACACAAGCGACTGGCCTGCAACTCGGCGCTCGTGTAGTGTGTGGGCAATGACGGTTTTGTCCACAAATGGGTACGGCTCGGGGTTCGGCTTGCTGTGCGTGTAGTGAATGGTGGGCTTTAGAAAAGATGTTTACAAATTTCAGAGATATTTTTCTTTCTAAAAAGCATTTGATCCTGCATAGGTTTACCCTCAAGTTGTACCATGTCTCTTAACAACTATGAAGTTTTATTAACATAGTTTATAAAGATAAGTACAGCATCTTTCTTTGAAATAGAAGGCTGAAAATTTTAAGAAGGACTTGTACTGACATACAACTCATTGTATTTCTTCTATTCGACTCAGTAATAGCCAAATAATATTTTTGGATGTGTTTTACAAAGTGTATAAAATCGGATCTTTATTAGAAGAATTACATAAATAAGGAAAAGCGGATTATATGTCCCTATACTATTCTATATTTGTAAAACATAAAACTGATTTTTATTGATTAAACATATTTTTTCCAGATACCATGCAAGCACATCCATGTCATGTCATAATTTTGGCGAAAATGAAGATTTATATGAGAAATTGAGCCTGTGCAAAACAGATCTCAGAGTAAAGAAGAAACGAATCAAACAGCTGAAACAAAACTTAAGGAAAGCATGCAGTGAGTTAACTGCATATGAACTTAAGTATTTCACAGTATATTATCGTTTTTGTAACTGATATAGTTATAGACTTTCCATACATAAGACAGTTTTTAAGAGTAATAAGTGCATAGCAAAATTCCAAAAATAAGAAAATGTCTGAAATATGCCGTCCTGAATGTATAAGTACGGTTTGCCGTTCCTTTTTGACTTTACTTGAAGTTATGTTTACATAGTCCTCTGTAACCTGAACATGCAGTAATTTGAATGTGCCTTCTCTCTACTCTATCCCATTTAATTACGTACCCGACATGGTACATATAGTGTCATATATGTGGCCATATTCCTAACATCTCTTTATGAACCTTTAGGAATCATGATAAATTAACGATTTTGGATAATTCAATTCCTATTTAGTTTTCTCTTTATTTCAGTTGTAGCAAAAACAATCATATCAGCAAAAGAAAATGAAACTATGTCGTTGCATGATGATATCAATAATGCCAAAAGTGAATGTGCTGACTTTTATATGCAAAACACATTAAATGCTGAAATGATAGAACATCTTGAATCTGAGAATAAAGCTTTACATGAGAAACTAGAACATTTTCATAAGTTCATTCGTCTTGGCTATGAGGAACTACAAAAGATGCGCAAAATTCCGATCGGAAACGTTTCTACAGGAATACAGTTGAAAGAAATCATACTCTCATGTGGTCAATACTTTGCTGATTATTGCAACGAAAGAGATACTTGTGCCCAAATGGAACAAAAAAATCGTTTTCTCAATAATAAAGTCTGTATATTAGAGACAAATATAAATGCCATTGTTGAACACCTAAAAAATGTTCAATACCAGAACTCTAAACTCCGTAAAGAAAATAACTTATTAAAAAATAAACAGTTGAAAATTATGGAAAGCAAAGCTTTGAAAACTCAGGAGCAGGATAATCATTGTTTATCGGTGAAGTTAAATCAAACCTCGATACAACAAAGGAAGGACGATGATCGCCCATTCGATTTGTCAACACATTTGTCCTTGGTAGAAAATCTTCTCAATGATCAAGATATGATGCTAAAAGATTTAAAAAAGTTGTCGGAAGAACTAGCTAATACATCTGTAACGAACTCTACTCTAAAGCTGTCAAAATGAATATTTAATGAAACAAGATTCTTGTGTGGTTTCCTTATTGATAAGAGGCTTAAAATAAATTGATCTCCTTACAGAATTGCAAAAAAGGCGCAGTCGCAGTAGTTTAGGTTTAACAGTAAAAATCAACATCAGTCTAGTAAGGTTTCCATTGTTAGAGCACACTGTCTTGGCATAAACACGGAATAGGAAGAATGGATTATGTACTAAAGATGTGTAAGTTTTGTGAGCACAATGACATGAGTAATGAAACGTACAGTTCGTACATTGACAAAGCTTCCTACAACAGCGCTGTGATCGTTTCACTACTAAGAGCAAGCAGCCAGTGCTCATTCTCACGCTTGTGAGAATGCGCACTGGCTGCTTGTCACGTACGCAGTACTACGACAGTGTCACATCAGTGCCAGTGTCCAAGTGTAGGGCTCGTGGATCACTCAAAACACATCATATTTGTATGTGCTCCTCGCGACTAGCCGCTTAGTTGAAATAAGGTCTTAGGGTTCCACCCGTCTTTTGATGAATTTGAATATTTCATACTATTCTGAGCTTCGACTAGTCTAATGCATATACACTAGTGGTTATATACCAGTGTGATGGATGTAAATGCCTAAATCTGCCATTCTGCCTCATTGTCACCACTAGGCGGCAATCAGGAAATATATTCCTCATAGCTACCGTTGGCGATCGAGGTGTTGGTGGTGGTGTTGGCGAGAGGAAATTCTATGGTCTGAGCATAAACAAAGTATAAGCGAGATTATTCTTCCAAGCTGACAACGCGACGTTTCAATGGGGTATAGTCTAAGTTTTAGTAATACGGCGGGCTGTTTCCGCAACGCGACACTGTGTCTATTCTGTGTGACGAATGGCATCAGTCCTGCCATCCCAGGTTCTCCAGAAAGCCCAGCAGTCCCTGAATGTTGCTGCAGGCTTCTACTAGTGTTCGTGGGTTTTCCCAGTAGGAAAGTCCTCTGTCTTGCAAAGCCTCTACACTCCAGCAGAACATGGGCGCTCATCTCTTCCTCCTTCAGGCAGGCTCAGCACAGAGGGCTGTCAGAAATACCTATATTACAAAGGTGTTTGTTGAAATAGCCGTGACTCGTAAGTATACCCACAATTTGTTTCATGGCTTGTTTAGCTTTCACGAGTAACCTTCGAGAGAAATCTTCATGGGGTGCACCTCATAAATGTTGACTTCAAGAGTATAAAAGCTCAAGCTTCAGCGATCACCCAATACAACCGGCTAAGGCGTAAATACCGCACCGATCTTTCAGAAATTAAACCGTCTAAAAGAATAAATAAAGAACGAGAATGGGCAACACGAAAAACTGTTACTAATGTTCAAGAATCAGAACCGGAAAAAAAGAAAAGAAAGATTTGTAATAATAAAAAGACTACTCCTAAAAAGAAAATAAATGTGTCAAATAAGAAAATCTAATAAAATAAATCAATATTTCCACGTTTCTACAAAAAGAAGTGAAATCCCACCAAAAACATTCTGTAAAAAACTAGCCAAGTCTCGATGGAGCTGCTTGTTTATCTCTAAAAAGTAATGAATTCTAGACAAAGTCTGCTTACTGCGATTTCTTTATTATTATAGGTAATGTTGTGTGACTTGGCCATTGAAGGGTACACAAGGGTACAAAACCAGGTACACCGATGCATTCGACTTTATCAAGCCTACAATTGACTGGTTATTCAATCAACGTTTTCCAAGTGGCAATTTTTCATCGTCAATGGGTAGCGGTTCTGGCGACAGATTGGTGCAATGGTGTCATGTAGCACCTGGTTTTGTACCGTTGTGTACCCTGTACCCTTCAATGGTCAAGTCACACAACATTAACTATAATAATAAAGAAATCGCAGGAAGGAACCTTAGACTTGGTACGACTACGTTGTCTAGATTTCATTACTTCTCATTGCCAAGCATGGCTCGAACCATACTTGGCAATGAGAGCGCTCCACCGCCGAGCGCCGCCACCAACGGAGGCGCAGTGATGACACCGCGGCAACTCCTCCCGACGGGCGACACGGTGCAGGTAGTGGCCAAAGCACCCATGTCCGGTTAGTACCTGCACCAGGCGGTAGGTGAGGCTGCCCCGCTGGCGCCTTACCCACTCCTCCAACACCGGACGGATCGCCTCGATCGTCCGGTGGCCAGCGGCTGGGTTGGCGAGTGCCTCACCCCATCGGCGCAGAGCCTCCCTCTGCACCTGGGTGCGGACCCGTTTGATCTCCTCCCGAACGGGCCGGTCGCCCCTCTCTCTCGCCGCGGCCCTGTGTCGATGCACCTGGGACAGAACCGGGGCATCGATCCTCCCACGGGAGCGTACCTGCGAGGACGCAGGCAGCCCCGTGGCTGACCGTGCGGTAAGCCCGCACGGCCCGGGCCGCGATGACCCTCTGGCCTTCGCAAGAGGGCCTTCGTGCGGGACGAAAGGCACTCCGCCTACACCGGGGCTCCGTACAGTGCCATCGACCTTATCACTCCATTATAAAGTCGACGGCACGACGCCCTCGGCCCGCCCACATTGGGGAGGAGCCGTCCGAGTCCGGCTGCGGCGGCGCACAGCCGGGGAGCGAGGAGCCTAAAATGCTCCTCGAACCTCCACCGGGGATCCATTGTCAGGCCGAGATACTTCATGTGCATCTCGACATGAACCTGGATCCCCTCAACCCGGACACGGAGCCCCGGTAGGGTCCTTCGTCTTGGGGCATGGAACGCCATGGCCCTCGTTTTATCGAGGGCCACCTCCAGCCCCAGGAGGCGGATGCGTCGGACGACCATGGAGGTGCCGACCGACGCAAGGTGGAGCACCTCCTCCCACTCCTTAGCTCTCGCCGCGACAAGGGTGTCGTCCACGAAGCAGACGACATCCATTCGCGGCAAGGGCGAGCCACACAGGACCCAGTTGTACCCCAGGTTCCATAATAGAGGGCCTAAAACGGAACCTAGGGGCACACCTGCCGCAACTGTCCACGACTGAACGCACCCCTCCGCGTCCTCGTAGAGGACTGACCTGTCCCGCGGGTAGTCCCGCACGAGGGCGCGGAGGTAGAGGGGTACTCGGTGGAATTCAAGCGCCGCCTCTATGCACTCGTGGGGGATGATGTTGAACGCGTTCGCGATGTCCAGGGACACCGCGATCACCATATACCCCCGTGCTGTGCCCACCTCAGTCCACCTTTTGAGGTGGCCTATTGCGTCCATCGTGGACCGGCCGGTCCGACCCCGTGCCCTCTATGTGCTCGATGATCCGGGAGGCGATGATTTTCTCAAACGCCTTCCCGGACTCATCAAGCAACACCACCGGCCGATAGCCCGCTGGAGAGTCCGCCGGGCGGCCCTCTTCACGGAGCAGGCAGAGCCGCCCCTCTCTCCAGCGCCTGGAGAAGCGACCCGACGCGATGCGTACATCCAGCACCGCGCGGAATCGGTCCCCCAGGGGGCCCAAGGCGATCGCCATCACCTTAGCTGGGGCCTCATCCGGCCCCGGAGCCTTGTTACGGCTCCGGAGCCTGTCCCTCACCATGTCGAACTCAGCGCCCGACACGGAGGGACCAGCGGCCCACGCCTCCGGGGCGAAACCGGAGGCCATCCTGGGGGGTGAGAAGGTTCCTAGGTTCCTGTAGTGCACCAACGATGTGTCGAAACTTGTTTTTTCAAACGGATCTTCTATGTCTATAATAGTGGCCAAACAGAGCTCTTTGCGTCTAAGACTATCTTCTATTTTACATAAGACTGCGTGTAGTGCAGATTCTGTCGACTTACCCGAACTATATGCGTGTTGATTCGGGTGTAAAGGGATAATGACTAATTGATTGTCTCTCAGCTCTCTGTCGCACAGCCTCTCCAAAGTCTTTAACAGAAATGATGAGAGACTTTAGTCTGAACGGACGGACTAACGGACCCAGTGCGGATTGGGGGATGATAACGGACACAGCGCGGATTGGTGGATGATAACGAACCCAGCGCGGATTGGTGGGTGATAACGGACCCAGCACGGATTAGTGGGTGATAACGGACCCAGCGCGGATTGGTGGGTGACAATGGACCCAGTGCGGATTGGACAACTCGTGATGAAATGGAAATTTTCAACGAATCAATTTGTGAGTTTAAGAGTTTGTATAAAAAGATAATGTCAAACATTTTACGATGATTAGAAAGATTAAGCAGTTTATATCTGACCAAAGCTTCACTGTATGATTCATCTTTTACATTGTTGCGAAAGTTAAGAGATATCATAAAGGACAATGGGCAAAACGCACCCAGCTCCGCCAACAATGTAATTAGTATGAATCGATAGATCTATGAAAAACTAGCCTTTTTTATTATGGCACCAAAAAAAAATAACCTGGGGGTCAAAAGATATACACCTGGGTATGTTCCGTATTAGGGGTTAAGGTTTCCGCACATAGTCCTTATAGACGACCTTTGTGTGTAAGTCATGGGGACCGGTTACACACGGGCATATTTAAATAGCTCCTTATAGAGAAGCTCGATGACGCAGGTGGTTAGCGCGTTCGGTTGCGATCGTTGAAGTTAAGCAACTTTCGCAGTGGTCGGTCATTGGATGGGTGACCAAAAACATCTATCTCGAGTTCCTCCGTGCTTCGGAAGGCACGTTAAGCCGTTGGTCCCGGCTGCATCTGCAGTCGTTAGCACCCGCCAATCCGCACTGGGCCCGCGTGATGGGTCATGGCCCAATCTCCCTACTTCATCCATAGGGAAGGCCTGTGCCCCAGCAGTGGGGACATTAATAGGCTGATGATGATGATATTTAAATAGCTAAAGAAATTCATTCAATATCAATAGTACTTTCGTTTTATAATATTAGCAATAATAAGTGAGTGAATCATATCTTACTGTACAACCAGATACAAAATACTAAACAACAAAGCCTACCGACTATCCTGCTTGCTTGCTGCTTGCACTTACTGAGACTCCTCAAAACGTCTAACAGGGTATGAGGGTTGAAGGATGTGATATTGCAGTTGCCGTTGCAACTAGTCTACTCGTATGCAGTCCTATGTCTTACATTTTGTGCGCTCCCTGTTATTTCATTGATATTTAACTAACACGCTTTAGAAATAGGAACACGATTATCATCGCGTACGTCATTATAATCGTACAATAATAATAATAAATAAATAAATATTTCCAACACTCACACCAATTAGCCTAACCTTAAAATAAGCATTGTAAGGCTGATGTTATGGGATACTAGGGTAACGGCTAGAATACATATGTATATAAGTATATTTATACAGAAATACAGATTAAATATCCACAACTGAAGTAATAAACGCTCGTATTCATCACACAAACATCTGCTCCCACCAGGATTCGAACCCGGAACCTCTCGAGCCAGCGACACCATGAAACCCGGCGTACAAACCACTCGACTCGGATATATTAATTGACGACCTCCGTGGTCGTCAATTAATATATCCGTTCTATATACTCGTCCTTGTATCTTTAAATATTATGTTCGTTATAGTTACTTTTACCTATGGAATTGTACCTATTTAACTTAAAATAACTAAAGACTCCCGGGATGGAATTTGATGCGCTTTGGCACAAATGATCATGACTATGATACCTTTCAAACAAATGTAGTTTAAGCCGTGGCGGACGTGGGTGTAGTGTCCATGCAATTTTGCCCATTGTCATTTACTCTGCACTATTCTTTGTATATGTTTTAGATAACATGGGCTCCAAACCGTGCTGCAAAAATCTAGAAGAGACCTGACGTAAGAAAAATATAATATTTTAAGGGTGATAATTTCTTTGAAAGGCTTACATATTCTGAGTATATGTCCTAACTGTTAAATGCTAAGTTTAATATGTGGTCTATGTGAGGATTAAAAGTTAGTTCCGAATCCATAATCAAACCAAGGTCTCTAATTTTAGTGACGCGCTTAATATTGTTGCCTTCAAATGTGTATTGAAAGTTGTACTGTTTCTTTTAAAGGATAATATAGAACACTTATTTATATTTAAAAACAATTGATTGGATGAACAGTAAATACTCAAGAGCTTCCAAATCTTCTTGCAGCTTTTTACAATCGCCCATAGATTTCACTACCTTAAAAAAATGCATCATCTGCATAAAGTAAGTGCTGACTATGTTTGATGACGTCACCCATGTCATTAATATACAAAGAAATGCGAACGAAATGCGAAGAAACGAAGAAATGCGGGCCTAAATGCGAACCTTGCGGTACACCTGAAGGCACAAGAAGGAATTGTTATGTATAACCTTTGATACAAACTGCTTGAAATCTATTTTTAATATAAGATTCGATCTATCTCAACAGATTGCCGTGCATACCGGTCATTTTTTTATTTCTTGTATTGAATTTATTATTGTTATTAAATCACTCTTTTTGACAATTGAACTATATTTTTACGAACATACAAAAGGTTTTTATAAATGAACTGTGAAGCTACAGTAATTATATTGATCTCCATAAAGAAATCTTTCAAAGAAGATCGAGATGTAAGGTTGTAAATCGCCTACACTGGTCTCTTCTGCAGAACAATAAGTTTCAATCTCCGCTGCTGAGCCGCACAATAATATACCGTATGACATCTTTCTCACTGCAAAAGCAGCGGAACTGAGCCTTGCTGATATAGTTTCAATATGTGGACCCCACTGAAATTTAGAATCTAAAGTAATTCCTAGAAAATTTGTAAAATTCATGCTATTCAATGGTTCATTCTTTATTATCAATAGTATGGAAACCTGCCTGACATTAGTTAAAGTAAATTTAATGCTCTTTGTTTTGTTTTCATTTAATAATAATATTAACAGTAAACCAAAGAAGTACCTGTGATAGGGTTCACAGGTTCTTCATTCATTTATGCTGTCAAAATTTTCTTTACCTCTATCAACTTTGAAAATTAGAGATGACGTATCATCAGCAAATAACACAATATCACGTAATTTTTTAACAAAGTAAGGAAGCAAGTTTCAACGGATTAGATGCACTGATTTTATTTATTTATTGACGTTTTGCATCCTTTGCAGAAATGCGTCATCGGAATAATGATTTTTATTTACTTTGCCGAGCTACCTTCGAAAGAATTTTATTGAGCATTCGGATATTTAATTAGAAGATTTTTAAAAACTCTGCTGTGTGTGAACATGCATTAGGAGAACCAAAACATTACATTAGATTTGATAAACCACAGATCCTTGCAACTGAACAACCATTCATTCCTAAGATACGCAAAGCTATTGAGATTAAGAAATATCCAAATTTCAATAGGTATTTATATATTTACAATGATTATTATTTATTAATTATACAACAGATAAAATCCCAACCCCGAGCACACACTGCAAGACCAATAGATACTATTAGTTCTTTTTGTTTGCATGATTTAACATAAGAAGGAGGTAGAAAGCCTGATTAGCCTCTGTGAGTTTATTTCGGCGGTTCTTCTCAGAAAGGTCTCCTACTTTTGGACCCGGTGGTAGTTTACAGTAGTAATAAATAAACTCGAAACTATAACAAAGAATTAAATAAAGTACTTTATTAATTAAATTAGCTAGTAAATAAAGCTTAATATATATATGTATATACCACAGCTACCTCTAACGGAGTGAAAGTATATTAAATATTGAAGATAGGATATTTTTCAACTACATTCACAGATTTTTTTAAATTCGCCTGCGCCCGTCGCCCTTTTATCTGTCTGTGATATAAGAGTTCAATAAATTAAGTTAATTATTCGAAACACCATAATGTCACAATTTTTGAGTAGAGTTTGTTGGTCTACACAATCAAACGCTTTAAGAAAGATCACAAAAATACCAACAGCGTCTTGTTAACTCTCCCAAGCATGGAATATGTATATTAAGAGCAGCACTCCAGCATCAGAAGTATTTCTACCTTTCGTAAAACCAAATTGCTTATTATGTAGTAATTTGTACAAAGTAAAATAGCAGTTGATGAAATATGATTTTCACAAATATTTTGCTTTCGACCAATTTCTATTATACCGTACAGGTAAATTTAACGAAAAACAATTTGACGGATCACTCCTACCACCAGCCTTGAACAATGGTATTATTTTACTTAATTACAATAAAATATAAAAGCAACCTTGATCAATGCATGGATTAAAAATGGATGCAAGGTGAGGAGCAATGGTGTCGATAATTATATCATTATTATATTTACAGAGATTCCCTAAAGATCCTTGGTTTTTTTTTATATTTAATTCTTTTAACCCCCTTATTAATAAATGAGGACTAAGCTTAGACTAGTTACGCCGTGTATTGTTCATATCACTCAAAATTTGTCATTCGATGAACAGAGACAAAACATGGAGTAACTAATACAAGCTTATTCTTAGTTACGTTTGTTCGTCTTAATAATAAGGGGGGATAGGTTTTAATTACTATATTGCAATCTATATACCTGAACTGGAATTGAGACTGGCACTCAGTGACATTCGCTTTTAAAAGAGACTCGGCAAGTACTGGCGATGAATTCAGTTCTTTAGTTGTTTCAGACGCAATATTGGAAAATAAAGTCTAAAATGTGGTTGCGACGTCTTTATCAGAATTAATAACTTTGTTCCCGACTTTCAATGAGAAAGTGTGATCTTTTGTTTTATTATTGTACAATTATTTATTTATTATGTTCAGTGGCGGCGCTAGGCGTCGGCGACGTCGGCCACCGCCGACGGCTAAGCAAATGATAATGACTTTTATTATTTTCGAACACGTGCGTGATGGAAGCGAGTATAGTACTTTACGGGTATTCAGAATCGTCTGTCTGGCAACACTATTTTTGTTATTAAATTTCTATTTTTGTAATTATTTTTGTCATCATTTGATTATCAACAATAAAACTCGTTTACTCATATGTTATTTTATAATTTGGCTCACTTAATTTAACGGTTTTTTACTGCGAAGTAAAATACGCCTCGTGAACTTGATGTCGCCGACGTCCACATGTGGTCTAGCGCCGCCACTGATTATGTTCCATGTATATTTAGCTTTATTATTAGAATATAAAATTATGTGTCGAAGATGATTTGATTTAGCAGCCACGCAACTTTTTTCAATATTTTTATTGTATAACATTTGGATCTTGGGTATTGACTTTAAGGCCACGGACCTGAAAAAAAGACGGATGTAACCTCATCTAATCGTGAGTGAAGCAAGCAGAAGCATGCCAATGGCCGCCCGCTTACCGCTTGTTGATTTGAGGGTGGTCGGGTAAATCACCAATTTCCCTACCTAGGTACTTTTTAAATCTCGCCTCGCATTAGAAGTAGTTTCATTAATATTTTCAGATAGCCAAGCAGTGCTTAATGCCATTAACTCTAACACGATATGCTCGAAATTGGTCAAAGACTGCGTTGATTGCTGTTGGCGTCTTATTTTAATTATTTTTATATTCGTTCGTAGTGTATAATGTGAAATAAAATTGGTGTGATTTAGTGTCACGACCATCTACGGAACTCAAGAATTAGTAAAATCTTCAAAATATACGCTATTCCGGTCAAGTGGACATGAAAACTCAATAGTACTGTTGACATTAACATAAACATTAACATTTCGTGCCAAACACTCCAAGAAACATTAGAATGCGTCACACTGGTGTCGATTCTAGCATTTTTCTCTAAATTTAACATCGTCTCGCCTTTTCATTTTTTATAGAGAATGAAAAGGATGCTGTATAATTTAATAATAAATATTGGTGTCGATTCTGGCGCGATTCTCTAAACTTAAAACTAAATTTAACATCAGTCACTTCTTTTCATTCTGTATAGAGAACGGCAAGGATACACTGGTGTCGATTCTGGCGTGATTCTCTACACTTAAAACTAAAGGAGATTGCTCAGCTTCCATACATGTTTGGCCTAAAAACCAATAACCATGAAAAATTGTTTCCTAGATTCGAAATTATATATAAATTACCGTAGAAACGAATATTATCGACGGCCACTCCTGAGAACTTCTATAAACCATATACACTGAATGATTTTGAGGTTATGTTTGCAAATAGGCACATAGGTATTAGAATAATAAAAACCAAATAACTTATATAGGAAAATAGGGCAATCAAGCCAAGTACCGATATTATGTATTAGATTCAGGTATATAGAGCATGTAAAATAACAGATAATTGCCTGTTTTTAAAATTAATGCACAAGAGTAAGTTTTAAAATCATGATTATGCCATTGCGACTTTCAGAAGCAATCTTGTTTCATTTGACAAGTGTCTAACACTAATTAAACTAACAAAATGCATGTCAAGGAACTGGTACCTGCTTACCTATGTTATGAGAAACATGGAACTGTTATCATAATTTTATAAAAACCAATAGGATATTTTCTTAGTAATAATTAGGTTTATAATGGTAAAAGGTAATTCTAATGTAATAATATATTGCGTAGGTTCATGATAGTTCTGATCAATGTGTGAAATATGTATATTCCTGACATAGCTTAAATATTCTGATAAGGTAAATTAATGACATAAAACAACTTAAGTACTTTTATGTTGCGTTTAATATTACATATCATCTACATTTTGAATTAAAATATCATCGAAATATTTTATCAATCTTTACAAAATAGATTTGTTTTAATGTTATATAAACAACCTCGATCAGTCTTTGTGAATGTTACTACACCCATAGCCAATAAAAATGATTCGTATGTTTTCCAAACCGGTAAAAATAGAGGTCCTTTTTTAAAATTAATATATTATTTAAAGGTGGCCGTTAAAATCTAATGACTGTAAAATAAAGTATAAATTACGCCAAGAATTACTGTATATGTCAATATTTTATTTGCATTTAGGCCAATTTGACCAATCTCCTTTAACATAAATCTCTCCTTTTCATTCCGTATAGAGAATGACAAGGATACACTGATGTCGATTCTGGCATGATTCTCTAAAGCTAAACTTAAATTTGACAACAGTACATCCTTTTCATTCTCTATACAGAATAAAAAGGAGAGACTGATGTTAAATTTAGTTTTAAGTTTAGAGAATCACGCCAGAATCGACACCATTGTTGTCAAATTTAAGTTTAGGTTTAGAGAATCGTGTCAGAATTGACACCACTGTTGTCAATTTTAAGTTTAGCCTTTCTGTTTTCTTTAGGAAGAGAATTCCACAGCTGAGCAGCGTGCACAGAAAAATAATTAATAAAAGAATTCAGTAGAGTAAAAACAGGGAATTTGAAGAAGGTTAGAAGAGGATCGCAGCGAGAGCTGAGAAGAAAAGGGTAGAAAACAGAAACACTGCATAAGATAAAGTGGAGAAGATGGTAGGAAAAGTATAGAATAGAGAATCGTGAGTGTATAAATCCCTGGGCTGGTGAATAGGGAGCCAATTGAATTTACTACGGAAGTAAGACACGACATTTAAGTTTAGGTTTAGAGAATCATGCCAGAATCGACACCACTGCCATTTTAATGTAAAAAAGAAGATTTATAAAGTTAAAGACCAGGCTGTATGGACATTGTTCCATTTGCCTTCCCTGCAAAGGGAAAATGATTAAAAAATTTAGAAATGTCTTTGTGTGTGTTGTTCGTTTTTATTTCATCTGATCGAGCTCGCTAATTCGCTTTTATTTCATTTCCGATTCAGGAATGGAAATAGATTAGTATCTTATAATATCTTATCCATCTTCTGTATGTTACTAAAAGTCACAGTTAGCCAGTGGTGTAGTATCTACAGAGTTTATCAACCCAGATTTATAAGTGCTACTAAAATGTCTCTTGAACAAGCTAAGCAAGTAGCCGCATATCGGGCCGTAGATGAATTTGTGACGAATAATTGTGTTTTCGGTGTAGGCAGTGGCTCAACAGTAATATACGCTGTGCAACGACTTGCCGAAAAAGTTGAAACGGACAATTTGAAGGTGACCTGTATACCTACATCGTTTCAAGCAAAACAACTCATTCTTAAACATAACCTTACTTTAGGAGAACTTGATACTCATCCTGTCCTTGATGTTACAATCGATGGAGCTGATGAAGTTGATGCCAACATGACTCTTATCAAAGGGGGTGGAGGGTGCTTGTTACAGGAAAAAATTGTGGCATCATGTTCCAAAAAATTAATAGTCATAGCAGATTACACCAAAGATTCAAAGAAATTGGGCGACAGGTATAAAAAGGGAATACCGATTGAAGTTATTCCTATGGCCTATGTCCCAATTAAAAATAAAATTGTAGGTTTGTTTGGAGGTGAAATAAAGTTGAGAAGTGCTATTGCAAAAGCAGGTCCTGTTGTTACAGATAATGGTAATTTTATTCTGGACTGGCTTTTTATAAATCAAGATTTGGATTGGCAAAATGTGGATACAGTAATAAAAATGATTCCAGGAGTTGTAGAAACTGGTCTATTTGTAAATATGTGTCAAAAAGCTTACTTTGGCCAACCTGAAGGAATTGTAAATGAAAGATCTGTATCATCATCATGAACAATTCTTATAGACGTAGAATAAACTATATTACATTATTAATCCATTTTTAATGATTCAACCTTGCCAATAATAAAAATAAATTCATTACAAGCATATGATTGTGTAAAGCTACTATAACATTCATTATAATTTAAAACTAATTTAACCTTATCACAAATGCTTAAAAGATTGTATTGAGAAAGTAAATCTTAATGTTTAATTTTATAAAGATTGTTATCCTATATTACTAAGCTAAATCTAAGTATTAAAAATATGAAAAAACAGGAAACAATTACATAATTTAGTACATATTTGTTTTGTGATACCTAATAATAGTCCTCTTGACTAATTTTATGTAAATGAGAAGACAGAATTAACCTTTTGTAATTTTTGTTACTCATAATCATGGCCATGAGCTTAAGAACATGAAAAAACTTGTATGGAAAACACAGAAGTTCAGACTTCAGTGCACACTACTCCATTCATGTATAGGGCTTCCTTTATTTACAACATTTTTTACTTTAGGTATAAGCACAACAAAGTATATATTTGTTAAAGAAGGGTCAAAGATCAAATAATTGTTATTAACATTATCACAGATCAGCAGTGGCCTTTAAAACCAATAAGATAATATAAATAAATAAATATTTCCAACACTCACACCAATTAGCCTAGCCCCAAAGTAAGCACTATAAGGCTTGTGTTATGGGATACTAGGGTAACGGATAGAATACATATACTTTACACATATAAGTATATTTATATAGAAATACATATTAAACATCCATGACTGGAGTACAAATGCTCGTGTTCATCACACAAACATCTGCCCCCACCGGGATTCGAACCCGGGACCTCTCGAGTCGGCGACGCCATGATACCCGGCGTACAAACCACTCGGCCACGGAGGTCGTCACAATAGAAAATATTGTGTAGTGTTACATGGTAATAAATTACTGTTATGTATTTTCTAAGCCACAAAATGTATAATAAGTTAAAAACTGTTTTTCTAACATTACATATGTATTATGAATGAATATGCAGTTTCAATTAATTCAGACCCTTTATTCTTAAACTGACCACAACATTGTGTATTGTAGTAAATTATGTATTTAAATTTTTTTAGGGCTCCATCCATATGTTCTAAAAGCAAAACTTTGTTGTTTGTCCTTCTGTTATGAAGACGACATTCTTCTTCTTTTTGCAAAGGGCGTTTACGCAACTAGACGTTCTTATGGCGCCTGCTTTGCGAGAAGAGGGTGTGTAGCCTATAACACTCCAGCCAGCCATGCTCCGTCAGGAACGCCCCCAGGACCTTCACATTGGTGACTGCCTCCTGGAGATTCCCGGTGAGCCGAGGTATTTCGCCCGGTATTCGGCCACTCTGTTGCATTCCAGCAGAACGTGAGTAGCTGTTTCTTCTGCCTCCCAAGGGCGGATCCAGGGGGTGGGTCACTATACTATATGACCCCCCCCCCCCTGGAGCCAAAGCTGGATCCGCCCATGCATCCTCTGCATAGGGTGTTGTCCGTGAGGGGCTGTTCAAGTATTACGTAAACACTATGGGGGGGCGGGAGGGTCTTTGCTTTGCTTATTTTTGATGACATGGGGGGTGGGGGGTCGAGATGGTGATAACGTCAGCATCATTGATTAAGCCTTTTTAAGTACAGTCGCCATCAGATATATCTGAGCATACAAGGTGACCAAATACATCTGAACAGTTAAAATGTCATTAAGTTCTATACGCTACAAGTGACCATAAATATCTGAACATTCATTACTTCAATAATATCTGAGCAGATGCCTGTCAATAATATCTGAACATACAACTTTTCAATAATATCTGAACACGTCAATGATTATGTATCTACGCAGATCATGCACTGGGCTTACATATTTTGTTACTACGTGATTGAAAGGATGAACTAAAAACAAAGGCTAAATATAAGGAATAAATACGATGAGAAGGGAATAAAAATCTATCAGAAAATCATTCGTGTAGGTCACCACGAGTAGTAGAAATGGAAGATGCATAATTTTTTCTCTATTTATTGACGTGACAACGTCTTAAATTAGGTTGCGGCTGGGAGTCACTTATGAAAAAGTGTAACGCTCGGTAACGTTACGATGAGTCTCTCGTGTTAAGTTTAAGTTTACATGTACAATGTTTTAGTAAACAAAATATATTTCTATAGTTAAAATTTGTGCAATTCTTATTTTCATTCAATTCCTTGTTCCTATTGTGCAATTTAATTATATTCATATCAATAAATATTCTACCGAGAAAAAGACGTTGTCACGTAAAATCTTCGCCCGTAAAACCGACTTTACAGGCAACCATTTTTTTTTATAATTAACGAGAAGTTATGTTTTTATTTTATTCTATAGATTAAATTCTCAATATCTCCTTAGAAATTTATTTAACCCGGCGTCAGCACAGTCAAAATATGCATCAACGACAGTAGGGTTGGGTCGAGAGGACCCGTATAAGAAAACGCCATAATTACAAAAGTTAAAATAAATTTGGTATGTGGTTGTACTATCTGTATAAAACGATTATCGTTATAGGTTTTGAGTAGAAAAAAACACAACATGATACGAAACTATCTTTATAATGTCATTTTCATAAAAGTGTCACAAAATATTAACAAAATGGACAACCTCTGTCTTAAAGTAATAAAATTTTAACAAAACATTTTTTTTTATATTAACATAAACTAATTTGTTACATGTTAATCAAATCTTTAGTAAACTAATAATATTATACTATTTGTATCAGTCTCATACGTCAGTCATAGTATCCTTATCATCTGCGCAATCTCGGCAGTACAACATTGCATGGTCACTGCAGATGTATTTGCATATATATACAGCTCCGAAAATTATTAGTTTTCTATCTTTTTGGCAGAACAGTCTTGGCATCTCTTTCTTACATAAAGTATCTTCACAGGTGGCTCCTCATCAGGTACCTACTCCTAAAAACTCTCTTATTCTTTTGCGTATAAGTCTTAGCAACTGAATGACATCTTTACGATTGCGCAAATGCTCACGAACCAGTATAAGGCTTAAGTTTCTTTAGAAATTGGCGTTATGTAATATGTACGCATTTATTTCAGACATATTTGCCAAAAATAACAAAATAAACAATATAAAACAACAATAAAACATTTTTTTAAACGGCGCAAAATTACGACACGAATAGTATGGTTGGGTCATATTTATCTTTTTCGTGTTTGGGCGTGTCTATCACTCGCTGCGGCCGCAACACGACTGATTGGCAAATCCCACGTGGAGGGGGGGACCATTAGCTCCAGCTACTGAGAAGTTTGGCAAAGTCGCACAAACATTTTAAGAAACACGCTCATTTGAAAACTGCTCGGGTCAAATAGACCCAACTGTGCGAACGCCGGGTTAAAAATAAGACAACTGCGTTTTTTAACCGCAATAGAAATAAGTAATAATTTGGAGGAAACATTTGTCCCACTATTTCCATTGCAGTGGAAAATGGAATTCTGTACTTGTCATGCTCAAACTGGGCGCCATCCTTACAAAAATTTTATTTACTGTCTGAGTGGATGTGTTTGTTTGGTTTGGGTATGTATTATTTATAAAAGTGAAAATTAATAAAAAACAAATTTAATTCTTATAAATTTTTATTGAGTTAAATAATCAAAAATGTAAACGAATTAACTTGGTACACTACCTCAGTAGATTTTCAAGCTTAAGTATTTATTATTATAATAAAATTATAATCGAGATCGAAATAAAAAAAAGCAACTTCTGATACAATGAGTTTAAAATTAAATAGTAACAAAATGTTTTATTGTTATAATTATACATGAGATCAAATCAAAAAGTTATCAGGCAATTAGTAAGGTTCTTGAAATTAGCGTATTATTATTAGTTTAATAATTTCCCAATATTATCAATGCCCGTTTAGACGGGAATTTCTAACAGACGTAGACGGTCGTAACGTATATTGTCGACTTGTTCTAAGTGACCACCGTTTTTTTAATACAATATTTAACACGTATAGGTAACTTATCTTACTAATAAATAGAAATAGAAAATAGTGTTAGTTTTTTTTTTCAAAACGACCGGGTTCGATTCCCGAGCTGACCACAGGGTTTTTCTTAAATGTATGAATGCAGTTTTAATTTTTATTAAAATCGATGACATAGTTCCTAAGAACAACAGATCTTCGTATATATTATAGTTCAAACTTTCCCATACTGACCCATTTAAATGAGCCATCTTGTATACTCTCATATTAAATTTTTGACCATTATATAATTATTTGCCGAACAAGGATTGCTGCCTGATTTTTTAAATTGCTTACAAAATCTTTTTGTGCCGACCAAATTATTTAAAGGCTGACCAATTATATACTTCTCATGAAACATTAGTATTTTGTGTAACCTCCTTCTGCATTTAATACGTCTTGTAAACGTTTCCTCATGGAACCAACTACCTTCTCACAAAAACCTCGACCTCTGAACGATTCCCAAACATCATTTGCATGTCGCCTTAAGGCTTCTGTTGTTCGACATTGATTCCCATCCCACTCTTGCACCATTTTACCCCAAAGGTTTTCGATGGGATTGAGGTCTGGACTTTTTGGTGGTAGTTTGATTAAAGTTAGTTCTCTCTGTTCATTAATCCATGTCTGTACTGTACGAGCATTATGTACTGAGCTGTTGTCTTGAAGGAATGTCATTTGTTGTTCTAGATAAAAAACTTGAGCTGTAGGAAGAAAAGTATCTTCCAGAAGTTCCTTATAATTCATTGCATTCATTCGTCCACTTATTTCCACAAGCTCACCAGGACCATCTTTGCACATCCATCCCCAAAATCCAATTGAAATACGTCCACTCCGGCGATTAGGCAGCACATTTTGTTCTAAGTAACATGTGTTTTCGGGTCGCCACAAACTTAATCGCCCATTATCTGATGAGCAGAGAACCTTTTCGTCCATGAAAGTAACGTTTTGAAAATTAAAATTTAAATAATTAGCTGCAAATTGTAGCCGCTGCATTTTGTGCCTTGGCGTGAGAGTTGGTTTTTTTGCCGGTACTCTATTTTTTAAACCTCCTTCTTTTAATCGTCTTCTAATGGTGCTAGTGGATATTTCGAATGTGCTTGAAAATTGTGTAGTGTTTATAAATCTGTCATTTTTGGCTTTATCTATAGTAGCTATGTCTTGGTTATTTGTAGTAATACGCGGGCGACCAAATGAAACATGATTATTTAATGTTTCTCCTTGCTGCCATCTTTCTAGCCATAAATATACAGTATTTCTCTGAAATAAATACAATTTTATACTTTGTGAATAAAGTTTCATGTTTTGTGGGCAATTGATTTTTAGCATTTTTCTCCGTGATACTTACGGCTATCCCTAGCTCATCGGCGATATCTTTTACGGATAAACCATCATTTTTAGTTGTATTATTTTATGTTTCATTTCCGCATCAATACGGTACGAACTCATATTAATTATAGTTAATTTATGGTATGAACTAATACGTAAGCAAGCTGCTTGAATTTATTTGTGCATGACACATGACAGAGGTGATAAGAATAAAAACTGGAAAGTGTTTAACTGCCAGCGTCATCTTATTATAAATAAATAATTAAGAGGTCCTATTAAAATTGTTCAGATATTTTTGAAAAGTTGTATGTTCAGATGTGGTTCAGATATTATTGACAGGCATCTGCTCAGATATTATTGAAGTAATGAATGATCAGATATTAATGGTCACTTGTAGTGTATAGAACTTATTGACATTTTAACTGTTCAGATGTATTTGGTCATCTTGTATGCTCAGATATATCTGATGGCGACTGTACTACTGAATACATTAAAGGAAAAATGCATATAGGTACCAATGTTTACGTAAGGATGGGGGGGAGGGGTAAGAGCTTTGCTTACTTTTGCTGACAAGGGGGAGGAGGGGGTAAATAATTGTAATAAATCTGCTTACGTAATACTTGAACGGCCCCTGACACCTAATTTAAAAAGATGTCTGTTAAAATGAACATGTCCGGTAATAGCACCTGTTACCATGCGCAATGTAGGAGAGGACAGTGTTCACCCGTGGCAAAGAGAGCTTGGTCTGCCTGCACGTCTTCAGATCGAGCCAGTGTTGCTGGTGTAGTGCGGCTGTGTGCTAGCGGATTTTATAGACGAAGCAGCTTACCGGTACCGGGATGATCGGTTCGGGGCCTGTTGGGATCATATCGGATCCCTTTCGGGCCAGTTTATCCGCAGCGTCATTTCCGCGTGATCCGCTGTGTCCCTTGACCGTGTTTAAGGTTTTGTGGCATTCATGTAGGAGCCTCGATTTGACCATAGCGGCATCTAGAGCTTGTAATACTGATTTGCCTTTCTGGAGAAGATCGCTCATGTCAGTATAATGACCATACATTCAGCTTGGAAAACTGTGTTGTACGGGTTTAAGGGGAAAGCGATGTGTATATTGAAGTCCTCAGAGAAAAAACACGTTTATTTGGAGCACCCTAGGGCACCTTAACTTTTTATTTATGGCTGGTTTTAGAATCACGCTGACCGTCGGCGCTAACAGGCTCGATTGACGAAATACCGAAAAAATGTACTAAAGTCATTGTCTTACAAGAAATCCTGCTGCTGCAACTGAGTGATGGTAGCTGTCGCCAAAGCTCTTCAAATGGACAAGAAATCTGCAAAATTTTCCCACTAGGGGCGCTGTAATCGCTTGACCCAAAACTTCTATCAAATACATATTAATTTCAAATAGCATTTATTAATTTTAAAGCTTTTTATTAAACAAATTACAAATGCCGCGTTGTGCAATTCCTGGGTGTTGTGATAAAAGTGCATGCTTCCCGACTAAAATATAATTTTAAATGTTGCTTTGGAAGGGGGGGGGGGGGGGCTAAAACTGAGCTGCGGTTTACACCATGGTATGTATCTGGGATAGATAATTGCATCTGGGTGTCTTCATTTTAATCAGAAAAAACTGCACCAAAATTAAAATTGCGGTCATATGCCTCGAGTCTGTAAAAGAACCCAATGTATATAAAACTTCCCATTTAAGCCAGATGTAACCTTCCTCTATGTGATGTCTGACTGATGCAAAAATAAGATGGATTTGACTAATGAGACCGCTAGAAGTTATTGAGAACCATGAACTATTAAAATAATCATGAAAAATGCATCTATGTACCGAGAATGAGTATTCTAGCATAACAATAGAAGGAGTGCCTTTCTACTAGATCAGCTTTTCTGCCTTGCACAGATGCTCCTCTCCTTTTCAACTCTGTTTTCAGTTGTATTACAGACCATGTTAAATTCACTTTTACCACTTATTTAAATTTTTTAACAACAAAAAAACACCTTTAAAATTTGACAGCTGCAATATTCGGTTGTGGTTTGGGTCAAGCGTTTGCAGCGCCATCTATGTCGAGCTTTGCGTATAATTCTCCATTTAATGGGAAGGTTGGAGATGTACAAAGTTTTTATTCAAATAACATTTTACTGATAGAAATTAAAACATAGTGAAAGTTTTCCTTCATGTTTATTAAGTCCTATTACATGACATCTCTTGCATTCAACTTAACTTTGCATTACATAAAAATAGATATGTACTGGTTTAAGTTTGGCATTAATTTATATTTATTTACAACAATACGACAATGGCAAATGCTGCAATCAGAATATTACTGATATGAGAATACTGATTTGGAAATATTTTATTTAAAGCTCTCATCTTAAAAAAAGCCTTCACAAAGCAACATCAAACTATGCTACTAGCTTTAAAGCTTTGCTATAAAGTTACACAAACATTTGATATTTTTTCTTAATTCCTTTTCATTCCTAAATATATATATAAACATTGTGCCTTAAAATGTTAAATTATTTTGTGATAAAATATGAATAGAAATATTTATACAATAAAAGATAAACACTAAAAACAAAGATGTAGGAACCCATTTTAAACAAAATTCCAATAAAGCAACAAAAATATGCTTATGTTCATTGCATTTTCATTGAAACACACAAAAAGTTTTTTTAATAATTTCCAGATTTATAAAACCCGGCAAAGTGCGTGTCGTGCCACGCGCAGTGTAGGGTTCCGTAGTTGCCACAATATATTTGAGCAGGAGTCTTTATTTTCTATATCAATCTACGTATCTGAACTAAATACCCAAATCAAAGTCAAACTGCATCTCAAACTCAAAATCAATTAGATAAGGGAAACCACCCAATCATTGGCACTCGTCCTATTATTGGCACTTTTGAGTTTAATTCGAAAAAAACAAGAAGACGATAGATTATTCAAGGTCGTTACATTTGAAAAAGAAAAACCTAGTATGGTTACGAAATTTGAAAATTGGCAGCATTATTCCTACAATCTATTGTTTCCTGGTTTTTTCGAACTAAACTCAAAAGTACCAATAATAGGAAGAGTGCCAATGATTGGGTAGTTTCCCCTATTATTATTTTTTTAAGTACAAAGGATAATCGCCGATTTTTTTTGTTTCCTCCCAAGCAGGGGAGCGGATTTAAAATCGTCATGGATACCTTACAGCCGGCTGCAAGGTTATGTCAGACTCTTACTGACTAAAAGCTTCATATGTAGCAATCATCCTCTACTTTTTTTTTGAGTGTGTATGCTGTTGGTCAGATGACCTTTACAGCGTCACCGGGTATTGATATTTTCAAGTGATTATATACTTTTTATAAAAACGTAAAGGTAGCGCGGCACAAAATCCGTTGCCCTTGGTACTCACTCTAGTGTTGTGAAACTAATGATATTTTATTGTGGTTTTTAAACAGTTTTATATTATTTTGTTGCAATGCAAGGTTTTACACTACAATAACTCCATCTATGCCACCATTAATGTTTTCTTCTAAGGAATTTTCAATAGGTAAGAAATTCTCTTTAACCAAAGTTGAATGACTATTACTCTTTAAGTAACAAATCTATCTTAACCGTTATAGTTTTCCTTAAAATTTCATGAAAAGCACTATTATCATAAATTTTTCCAGGTTTTTCAATCCTACCATTATATTGGCATAATCGATATATAAACTGCACAAAATTACAGCTCTCTAGTGCTAAAAGTCTCCAAGCAAAACTGGGGACGGACAGATGGACATGACAAAACTATAAGGGTTCCTTGTCAGGACTACGGAACCCTAAAAAGTGGTTTATAATGACAGCAATGGCAAAACAACAACTACCCCCGTATTTATAAATGCAGAATCTTTTTGGATTGATTACTTCATGTTTTGTCTCTGTTCATTGAATGCCAAAATATGTCATTCGAGTGATATGAACAAAACATGGTGTAACTAGTCAAAGCCTTAGTCCTTGTTTATTAATATGGGGGAAGTGTTACAAACTATGAACATAAAAGAAAATAGGAGTCTATTTTCAAAATGTCCAATAAAAAAATATGTTCTCAAGCCATCTGGATATTAATTAAATATTAGAACAACATTTATAAAATATTAAGAAACCAGTTACAACACAATACCCTGATAACAAAACTGAAAGGTTGACTACATAGACAATAGACATCTTGTACCTTTGCAATATATTATGATTAGATTACCTAAACTATAATAAGTGCATAATTTGTGCAATTTTATTAATACAGGCTTGTTTTTTTCATAATCCGCAGAAACTCCTCTTGATTTATTTCACCATCTCCATCTCTATCTGCCTCATCTATCATCTCATGAAGTTCTTCATCAGTTAAGTTTTCTCCAAGTTCCTTTGCTACTCTTTTAAGATTTTTAAATGATATTTTACCTGAAATACGAAATTCAGGATGAAATTAATATTAATAGTACTAGCACAATTTGTTATTACAGCAGCTAGAAATAAAGCAAACACATCAAATACCACTTTTTTGGGAAATGATTAATATGAGGTCTATACCTGTTTCATCATCATCAAAAAGCTTAAAAGCTTTCATTATTTCTTCTTTGGTATCTTTCTCTGCCATTTTTACAGTCATTAAATCAAGAAAGTCCTCAAAGGATACTTTTCCATCACCCTTATCTATTTCTGCAATCATTTTCTTGATTTCCTCTTTCTTTGGCTCAAAACCTAGTGCTCTTATCGCAACTTTCAATTCCTTCGAGTCTATTTTTCCTGTGTTTTCTGTATCAAATAGATCGAATGCTTCTTTTATGTCGCGCCTCTGCTCTTCCGAAAGTTCAAACTTTGGTCCAGATTTTTTACGCACTCCTCCTGTGGGTGCATTGTTCGAGCTCACTGACTTTTTCTGATTATTAGCTACAGCTGTTGCCTAAAATAGTATTTATTTACATAAATTAAACAAAAAGGCGTGATGGAAAGACATTATGCAAAAGACACAAACGTACCATTGCCACAAGTTCCTATTTAACAAAATTCCTTAACATGCAATTTCTATTAGCGTAAAATCTACATCAAAAGATTGCATAAAGGGTTCAAGTATTTTCTCCGTGTAGGTACATCAATTTTATTGATTAACATCAAAACAACAAATTCAGTTTGTATCACCGAAATTCCCGCAGACAGTTTGACATTTAGTAGCAGTGTTGCCGTTCTTTAAAATCTTGAAACAATCTCAAAAATTCCGCCGATTATGCGATAAATTAGGTGCTAAAAATCCGCTTAATATACAGCTTGTCTCTAAAGTCGTGACATTAAATGATGGCGCCACTAGTGTGCATGTACAGTACACAACCCTATACAGTCGGACCAAAATGATTTTGATACTAGCAGTTTATTCAAGTAAAATAGGTAATTAATAAGACACACTATACAGTCGTATTTTGTTTCTGTTTTATATATAGTAGGTACCTATGCTTATAAAAAGTTTAGCCAAGCATATTTAATTGAATCAGAATAAAACTATTATAAATAAAATAGTACTTTGTAGTGTAAAAGTGTGTAATGTTGTGATTACCGCTGAGGTGCCATTGAGACCAGAGCCGTTAGGTAATCATCAATACACACTTTTACACTACAAAGTACTATTTTATCTATAATAGTTTTATTCTGATTCAATTAAATATGCTTGGCTAAACTTTTTATAAGCATAGGTACCTACTATATATATAAGAAAATAATACTAAAAATCATTTTATGGTATATAAAAAGTTTATTTAGAGAAACAATTTGTAAATGTGCAGTTAGTAAAATTAGTGATAGGTATCTTCACTAAAAGCATCTGGCCATGGTTCTTTATGTGACCATTTCTTTCTTTGGTCGGCCTTGCTTGTTTTCCCAGGAGTTTCCAACTTTCCATCATTCATAAAATCTTCGTTGACTATCCGACTCTCTGATTTTCCTGAAAAAATTAAAAAAATATGTAACGGAATAGAAACAATAACTTATTTACATGAAGCAATTAATTCAAAATTGGTAGAAAATCTGACCGAGTAGAACCATAATAATGTATCAAAAGAAATGGTCGTACTACAATATTACCTATTTACAATGTCAATCTAACCTAAAAATGTGCATTGTAAACAATGCCTTTTTTGGTCTCAAAATCGTAAATAGAATAAATTTGTAACTTCAGGCAGATTACAAACAAATCGTTACACGATTACATACCCGTCATAGATGCTGTTCGCCCATAAACATCGTCCAAATCCCACAAAATTCGTCCAGCTTGGTAGTCTTCGAAAGATCGCTGGAAAACTTTAAAAATGACTTCCCGCGTGCCACTCCGATTTACTTTACTCATTTACATTTTTATACCATTCTGCGTAGTTTCGTCTTAATTTATTACAGTTTAATCCAAGCTATAAAAAATACAAAAGGAAAAATTGTTCCACAACTGAAACTCGATGACAGCTGATGTACTCGTACATAAGTTTGGTGTTGCCAGACACATGAATAATGTTAGTTCTTCAAACATTCATGTCACGACTTTATAGACAAACTGTACCGCCTTACGGATCTCATGCAATAGGGGCAAAATTAACAACGTATACATACGCATAAAAATATGCGATTTAATTAAGAATAGGACCGACTGGGCGCCATATTGTGGTGTCATAGCTGTCAATTCAAACCAAATAGGTAGAGTGAGCAAATAAGTTTTAATTTAATAAAACTTATTTACTAAGATTAAGTGAGAAAAAACTTCAGACTTTTTTAATAAAATTTATTTACTAAGATTAAGTGAGAAAAACCTTCAGATTTTTTTAATAAAATTTATTTACTAAGATTAAGAAAAAAAACGACGGGTTGCACTCCGGGAGTGCCGGCAGAAGTGAAAACTTGAATATTAACGTTGTCCATTTTTGATATTTTGGAATGGTTATGGAATAATTTTGCACGAATGGCTTTAATTATCAGTATAAAAGTACTATCATTTATGTGGTAGCATACAATATTTATTTATTGCGCTATCGTACACAAACATGACAAATTATATTACATTAAAAAGTTGATCTCTCAGAAAAATCAACTAGCGCACCTAGCGACTAAAATCGCAATAAAGCTACCACCTGGACGTCCTAATTAGAGAATTATTATTATAAAACGATAAAATAAATTATAACTACCTATATTTCGTCCAATATATATGAAAGTCAACAACCTTTCCAATTTTATTGTTTTCGTCTTACGAATTTTCGATTAGGTCACATGTACGGACGCGATCAGGTCACGTGTCCTGACCGGAGATTTTTTTTTATCCATTACAAAGAAAGTGTACAACGCCGCTAAAGAAGTTTTCACTTAAAAAAACGAGCGAGCATTACAGTAGTCGCATATGATATGTAACATTTGAAATCTCACTTTATATTAGTAAAAAAAGAAATAAAACCTACTACAAAAGGAATAAGCCATATGAACATTATGTTTTAAAACCATTGATTTGGTTTTAAATTTAAATAGCGCGCGCTTTCGCGACTTTCTGTTACACACTTCCGTCCCATTTCACGAAATCACTCTCAAAAATTGCAGGAAAGCGAGAGGAAAGATGTTACACAACAAAAACAACCGATTTTTAATAATATTTATTTATTAAGACTGTGAGAAAAAACATTAATCACAATCTAGCTCTTTAATTCCGCTCACGTCACGTACGAACAAGCATCCTTTATGCTTAGACCATTAAACCACAGGACTAGCCTCGTAAGATCTTTCCCCTCTGTCAAGGTATAAGATCAAATGATCCTGTGCGTTCATAAAAACTACTTACAATCGAAAGATTTCAGTGTGAGAATCGGTATCGTAGTGACAACAGTCCGTGTCTCCTCGGGAAAAAATGCCAACCTGTGCCGTTTTAACGTGCAAAAAAAGATCAAACACCTCTAATTTACAAAACGACGGGATATCATTTCACATGTAAGTGTTTTTTCTATATTTTGGTGCTTTTTTTCAATTAAAAATGAATTTTACAATAATCGAGAATATAAACTTGCAAGTAATCGAGTGAGATCCAATTCGAATGTGTGCCGAAACATATTCATATGATTTTATACGTTATGATTAAAAAATAGAGTCCATTTTAGTGACCTTAACTATTTATTGGCGAATATAGTCTTTATTGCATGCTCCCCACGAGACTTGCAAACGCACTGCCCACGAGACTACATTTTTTAATTATCAAGTTTCCCCGCATTTAAGATTCGAAATAAAAATTATATAACTTGAATTGAGTGAAGCGAGACTATTTATTTACGACTTTTAAGTGATGTGAAATAAAATTGAAAAAATATTATAGATAAAATGGTTTTTTGTTTTTTTATTATTAAGCACGTTGCGGGTTAAAAATAAGAATTGTACGATAATTGTATTTTATTGTAAATTGTCCTATAAAAGTACCACTGGCTTTTCAAATTTATTGAAAAATACCGATGTTATTAAAAAAATCTTATGTGATCTTAACGTACGCTTCCCTAGTCTCGTTTTTATTTCATGTGATGTGATAATCAATTAACTTGAGTTAATGTGGTGTCAGACTTTTCCAAGTCACCTTTCAAGCTTCCAAAATGGCTAGTTTTTAAGTATGCTATCTTGCGATGAGTTTCCAGGAGCAACGGCTTAATGTGCCTAAACAAGAAAATCGGTTTCCAATTTGGGTCACCCATCTGGGCACTGACCGCGCGTTTGGTTGCTCAACTTTTACTGTTGCGCGATCGTAGTGCCACTAACCTGCTCTGGTTAATAGTATAGTAATACAAAGTGAGTACCTACAAAGCATCAGAACTCCGGGGAAAATAGTTCTCTTGATATTAGAGTTTTCTTGCGGTTATGACTCCCGCTTCATTTTTTACACAAAAGTCGCGAAGCTTTAGGATCTTGAGATTTATCTTTCGACTGAGTCTATACATATTATCAAACTCTATTATTATTATGATTCTCACATTATTTCTAGATTCCCTAAAGATCCTTCTTTAAAAAGGAAGTGGACAGAATTTTGCACAAGAAAGAGAAGTTGGGAGCCTAGCCGAACAAGTACAATATGTTCTGCACATTTTGATTTGGCTCAATTCCAATGAAAATTAATCGAAAATGCCGTACCGATGTTGTTTGCAGCCAAAATCGAGAGTTATTTTTATAATAGAATGGCGTACCTTCTTGACTTTCATAAGTGCTTGTAACAGTCTAGACTGAATAAATGACATTTCATTTCAATTTTTTTTTTATTTTTATAATTTCATTGGTAACAAACACAACTCGTTTTCCCTAATTTTATAAATTCCTTTTCAGAACACATCAGAATCTGAAACATGCATGGAAAATGATTTTTTTAAAGCATCAATCAATCAATCAATCAAATCATTTATTGCATTCATGTAGTTACTGAGATGGTTAAATACATGTTATAAAGTACAATACATGAACCCTGTCAGGGTATCGCAATACTTGATGTTCTTGAATAGAATTTATAATAATCTAATACACAATTTAAATAATTTTTTCTTGAATTTACGTAATATAAATATCTACTCAATCAATCAAAATTATATATATTTCATCAATTATCCCATAAAAAATAATATTAATAATTAATTTGAATTGAATTATAAAATATTAATAAAATGAAAACTATGTACATACCAAACTACTAAATATAACCCACCTTAAAATCAACCGCAATCAATCACAAACATGTTACATATTTTAATATCAGACAATCATACTTTCCGATTAAGCAATTAAGAATCGTATAAAATTATATCATGTTATTATTATGTGAATCAATCTATCCAAAACATATTTTTTGTTAATAATATTTATTTAGACGTAAGGTACTGATCTATAGAGTAATAGCATTTATTTATCAAGAGCTTTTTTAATTTCCTTTGAAATATGTTAATGTTTTGTTCATTTCTAATTTCTTCTGGTAGCTTATTAAATACTTTTATGGCCATATACTTTGGACTACAATTCAACATTTTGATCCTAGATGAAGGTAGGTGTAACCTATTTTTATGGCGAGTGTTTAGATTGTGTGTATTTCTTACTTTAATAAATGTATTTTTGTTTTTGAATACAAAGGTAAGGTTTATCATATATGTATATTGAAGGTAACGTTAAGATTTCATATTTTATAAAATAGGGCTTACAGCTCTCTGTGTTATCTATATGTGCGAGAATTCTAATGCATCTTTTTTGTAAAATAAACAATTCTTCAGCATCAACATTTCCCCATAACATAACTCCATATCTAAGCCAGGAGTATGCATATGCATAATAAGTAGAAATTGCAGTTTTTAAGTTGGTGTTACATTTTATTTGAAACAGCGCATAAGTAAACTTCGATAATTTGGCTTTAATATGTGCAACATGCTTCTTCCAATTTATGTTTGTATCAATGTTAACTCCAAGAAGACTAAAATCATCAACGATTTCAAGGTGATTATTTTGAAATTTTATTGTTATATCAAGAGTTGTTTTTTATAAGATCTGAAAAGCATGTAACTGCTTGATGTTTAAATCTAAAGAAAATATAACTAGAAAAAAATCCACGCGGACCAGACAGCAGACGGGACTCGAACCCGCACCCTTCGCTATCCGGGAAAATGCACTGACCAATTCTGCTACCGCGGCCCTGATGGCCGCATCGAAATTCTTCTAGCCATTCTTAAGCTGCAATGCTGCGCCATCTCTTCGCATTGTAGGTAACCCACAATGTCAAATGAATATTTTTACAAGTATTAAACATTTGAAAGAAGATTTTGCAATTATAGCTATATTTTTTTATGCATGTAACTGCTTGATGTTTAAATCTAAAGAAAATATAACTAGAAAAAATAACAATACATGCTTGTGCGTGCTTGCGTATGTAATATGAACGTAACGTACGTATGTATTTTTAATACATAAAAGCCAGAATAGAGAAAAAATACGATGAGACAGCTGATGGTTTCAGGACGGTTTAGTAAAAATAAGTTTTTATGCTTTAACATTGGAATGGTGGAATGAGTGTTCATTAAAACAAACCAAATAAACCCAGACTCGAGGGATCTTTTTGTTAACATTGAAGAATTCACTGTTCACCTCCTAGCTTCCTTATCAGACTGGATCAATGATATCAGATTATTGTATTGTCATCCGAATTACATACACTTACCAAGTTTTGAATCAATATGAGAATAAGAAGTAGATTGAATTCGACTTTCCAGATTTGTTTACCTAGTTAAGTACAAGTGAAGCTAATTTAAGCGTGTTAAAATATGATAAGTTTTGACTTGTTTGACATAAGCTCCTAAAAGATATGAAATCATCAACAGATTTTGTACCACTGAGAATAATTGTAATAATCATAATAATGTTAAATAAAAGTGAATTTAGAAGATTATTTCAGTTCAAGTTGTACTTTTTTCAATAAAAGTTTTAATCTAGTGTCTTAAAGTATTTTTATTTCATTTTAATTTACCTCTGGCCATCTACACTTACAGGAGCAATATTTTTTTTATTGTCAAAATCGTTTAATTTAACACACATTTTATTGACAGGACTGTACCTATGTTGGAACGACTGTTTGACAGATAAAAAGAAATCAACTTAAATACATAAAACAAATGATATTTAAGATTTTCACCCACAATAGCGATTTTTTAAGTTTAGCAAAAATTATAAGTAAGTGGGTAATTGTGCCAGTGAGAGTATTAAAAGACCCAGATTTATTTTTCCCGTTGCCATATTTTTGCATAAAATAATCTTTGAGAACAAAAAAAACTATCGATATTGTTATTTAAAGAAAAATAAAATATCGATACCAAACATTCCCTAGTTACGATTACTTGTGATTGTCATTAGTGTGCGTAGGTGAAAAAATATATTTGTAGGCGATTGTAACAATACAAATAACTAAGGCTGTGTGGGTTTATTACAATATAGTGGTTTACCTCGTCCCCCTCAAAAATGACAGACTTTGCACTGAGTAAAATTAGGCGCGTACTTAGTCCAGTGGTTTAATGGTCTAAGCCTTTATGTAAAAATGTAAATGAAAGTTTTAAATCGAGTTTCTGAACGCAAATTAAAGTGACATTTGGTTGACGATTTAGGTTATCAACCATTCAGAGCCAAAGGTCAATAAATGAAAAAATAAATATCAACCATTATTCATTATCAACATTTGTCTTTGTTTACAAATGCTTGGTTTATATTCTAGAATTAGCCGAGTGCTAAAAAAGGGTTGTAAGATGTTTTTGCAAACCGTACTTTTCAAGCGTCATTTGACAGATGGAGGTCATTAGCTTTCCTATTCTTATTTGAACCGCACTATACAAGACTTACAAAAACTATAGCTTTTGTTCTTGGTTACGAGGTATTTACTTATAAGAGTATGAAACAATGTATGTAATATGTATTAAGTAAAATCCTTAAAAGAAAGTATGTGAAAGTATGAAAGTACCTACCTAGGGCGTACAAACTTATTCCAAGAATAGATTCTGTAAACTAAAACATTAGTCTCTGCTTTTCATTCTATACTAGTGGGCCGCCCTCGCTTCGCTTCAGTGTAGAGCTGTACTGTTGACTATAGTTTTATTCTCAGGCTTGTATTTAACACAATGACATTCATCTATGATTCTTCTTATACCTGCATGCAAAGTCTCAGCCCGATCGGTTTGAAATTACACAATGAATTTCTTTAAAAGAATGATGAACTTTCCATGAAAATTTATTTTACTGATAGTGAAAATTTTGCTGTGTAGTTTAGGACCCGTTGTACCGAATGCACCATTTTTATGGTTGAACGCGCAAATCTCAGGAACTAAAGGTCCGATTTGAAATAATCTTTTTAGTTAGATGTGCATTTATTGAGGAAGGCTTTAGTCAGTTATTATTATCCACTAATCCGCAATGGGTCCGTTATCACCAACCAATCCGCGCTGTGTCCGTTATCACCCACCAAGTACAAGATTCATGTATTTCGTGACGGGTAGTGTTCATTGTTTACCGATGAGTCACCGGTAACACTAATCGTAACGCAAAAATCGAAATACATTCGCCAGTTTACATTGACGACCTCCGTGGTCGAGTGGTTTGTACGCCGGGTTTCATGGTGTCGCCGACTCGAAAGGTCCCGGGTACGAATCCCGGTGGGGGCAGATGTTAGTGTGATGAATACGAGCATTTGTACTCTAGTCATGGATGTTTATTATGTATTTCTATAGAAGTATACTAATATATGTACAGTATATGTATTCTATCCGTTACCCTAGTATCCCATAACAAAAGCCTTACAATGCTTACGATGATTCCCTTCAATAAATATCTTATGCTGCATGTTTGCAGCAGCCCAATAGCCTCACAGGCCACAAACAACGGAACCACAGATCTCCACCGCACCCGCGTAACAATGGGCGCCCGCTAAACGCAGTTTCAGAAGAAAGATGTAAATAATTGAAAAAAAACTAAGAATGAAAGTGTATTTGTCATTTATTGAACTCTGCTTGTTAATATAACAATATATAAAGCATTGCTGATTACAATATTATAGACTTCATTCTAATACATATTCAGTCATTCATAAGTTCACGTTCTTCGTCAGTTTGGTATATTATTTCATCGATAAAACAATGTTAAATACAACAAATTAAATAAATATCATGTGGATACTACTGTTAGTATGTTATTTAATAGAAGATACATCGATAATACCAATCACATTGGGCGTAAAATGTACCAAACATGTAATAGCGAATATGCGTTTTTTTTTATTGAGTAGTTTACATCACCTTTACACAGTATAAAAAATCAACGTCGAAAAATTTAAAAAAAAGCCAATTAGCACTGGCAGTTTAAACACGCGCTATTTTGGGGACGCTTAGATGTGACGTCACGCACGATACATAAAACCTACCAACAAGATCAATGACCTTACAAGATACTGACATTTTGCCTTCCATAAATTCACTGCGGATGGAAGTTGCAACCTACGTCAATCAAATAAACATTTTGTTTCATTCTTAGATTAAATCAAAAAGGCAAGAAGATAAGTTATGGAGCACGACCACAATTCGCTTTAGTCACAATTGGACATTCAAACACGCTGCATGTGCACTCAACATAACAATATTGCGTATATTTTGTGTTATAAAAATAAAACAATGCGTAAAAATAGTTTTGTCATCAATGCTATTTACGTAATCGCCATTTTGTTATCAAGAAAAGAACAACAATACAGCTCAGCCGGACAGACGTACGGACTGTAAACTTGATATCAGTCTGTCCTTTTCATTCCTTATAAAGCTTATAAGGACAGACTGATGCCAAGTTTACAAATAGCAAACACATAATTCAATAGCCTAGTGAATTTCCGGCATGAGAAGCGAGTGCAGTATCTTCCTTTTTTTAATTTAATTTAAGGGTGGCTGATTTTTCTCAAATTATTTTAAAATATGTGAGGAAACACTCCAGCCTCAAATATGTCCGAATACTTGTGAAAAGAGCAGGAAATTTATAGAACGCAATATATTGAAATATCCCCCAACGCCAAAAGTGGATATAAACTCTTCGTTATGCAAACATTAACAATAATTAAAAAGCAAGTTAACAAAAAACACATTATTGGAGTTTTTATTTATAAAAGTATATTCAACTTAATTTAATGTTTGTTGTCAAGAAATACCTTAAATATATAGGATACCTATTAAAATGACAAGGCGGAGTAAGTGCGTAAGTAACATTCGAAGCGAAAAACTACTTTGACTTAATTTTCAAGTTTTCGAATGCATGGTACAGTATCAAAGTATAACGCAAATTTGTAGAACAATGCACATTTTAAGGTTTGTACGACGGACCTTTGCGAGTTGATTCGTGAATTCCGTTCATTCGGTGATTAGATCACAGTGACAAGAACTTATAACTATTTCCACTTTGGACATATTTTTCTGATATTTTTATTACAAAAAAGTAACAAGTTTACATATCCAAATACGCATTGTAATGTTCTTTCTCCAACACATTAAGACTTACCTACGTAGTCAATGCCATCCACCCGTTTAGAAAAACTGCTCAGTAGATATAATTAGTACTACCGATAAAAGGTGTTTATAAACAAAAGTTTTGTAAAGAACAGTCTACAAATTTTTAAAATTAGCGAGGCAAAGAATACTGAATCTATACAGCCTCATCTTTAGCAGACATTTTGTCTTTTCTCTATTGATTAGACATTTTACACAAGTTTTTCATCGGGCACGTAAACTAAGGAGCTGGCGAACAAAACGGTATAATTACGCATCTGGTCAAATTACATTTTTTTACAGTCCGGAGGTTTCGGACCCGTTGAATTTCAATCTAAAATAATTTTCAATCAAAACCGCCTAAAAACAGTGTTAAAATTACTAAATTTATAATTTAAAAACCATGCCAGAAGCTCACTGTACGTATGCCATTCAGTTTTATAAAGCTCCTGTAAAATATGATTTTATGTAATTATACTGTTTCGTTCGCTAGCTCCTCAACTATGAGCATGTAGATCGTGCGATTGTCAAGGGGCGCTCGGCATAGTGCCCACTGACTTCATGAGGTGGTAGCAGTGAGGCAGGCGGCTGCGGTGGCCGATCTTCAGAAGCATGGCGGCAGCTTGCGCTAACATTCCGGCTCTCTCGCCGGGCGCGGCTAAAACTGCCGCTGGGAGATGTTTACAAGCCATGTATAAAGCTACCGCTCTCTCGCCTTCGCCGCCGCCGCTTTCTAAAGCACGCTCTATTAACAAAAATAAACATTGTTCTAAAATCAAATCAAATAGCGCGCGCTTTAGCGACTTCCCTGTTACACTCTTCCGTCCCATTTCACGAAATCACTCCCACAAATTGCAGTAAAGCGAAAGGAAAGATGTTACGTCAAAAATAAAATCTCGCCAAGAGCAAAATTTTCCGTCATAACGGCGTATAATAACCTTATCTATCCAACCTAGCAATTCCGCGGAGACGACACAATTCCTACACTTTTTTTCGCCTAGGCCCATCCGCCGTACCGCCCGAAAAGGAACTTCGTTCCAAAAATACACAAAAGAATATTAATGTGTATGTGCTCGTCGGTAAATTCTAAAATGGGTGACTACAAATTTGCTGTATCCAATCTCCATGCTTCAGAAAGCAAGTGAAGCTGCTGTTCCCGGCTGCATCTACAGTCGGTAACAACAAACTATGTATTCGCATTTGGTTCCACGTGGTGGGTCAATGCCCATTATAGGGCAGGCTATACCCTAGCAGTAGGGATATAGACTAATGATGATTTTAAACAAACACACTTCAACGACTGTTACTTTAGACCTACCAAATTTTCTTACCGGAACAAGATTCACACTCCGTCTCACCAAATAGCGTTATAGTAAGATCTCTATATATTTAACAAGGATGAGGGAGACCTAAATAAGATATACAGGGTCATTACAGGCAGTCCACGTACTTATGGCATGTTAGGTTCTCGAAATACGCGACGTAAATCGAAACGACGTAAGTCGAGACATATTTTTTCGTATACTTACATGTAAAACTCAAGGGTTAGGATCCACACGGACACAAAATCAACTTGTTTAGGTGGCATATATAGATTAAAATTCACTTAAATACCTATTTATGTAAAAACAAAAACTGTCAAAGATGCAAAAAAAACTAATGTAAGATTACGTATTGATTGTCCGTTGTCCCTGAACTAACACTGAACAATCTGGTCTGCGTATGCTTGAGGAATAGTGTCAAAACTTTATTCGACGTAACTTTAAACGGCGTAAGTCGAGGACTGCCTGTAGTTAGTTTTTGTGATAAATAATCACCTTTCCCGCAAATTATGGAGGTTCGGTTGACACGCGGACGTAGACTTCCATCCAGCAATTGCTGCGTGCGTTTAGGCGCCGCCCCTGCCATCATACGGTACACGGCAGATTGTAGAAATACGCGCGTAGTCGCCCACTGTAAACGAATATGCCATAATTAAATATCTGTATAAACGATAACGATAGAGGAGCTCAATGGCGCAGGTGGTTAGGGCGTCGGCTGTAATCGTTGAGGTTAAGTAACTTTCGTAGAGGTCGGTCATTGGATGGGTGACCAAAAATCTTTTATCTCGAGTTCCTCCGTGCTTCGGAAGGCACGATGAGCCGTTGGTCCGGGCTGCATCTGCAGTCGTTCGCACCCGAAAATCCGACTGCCCGCGTGGTGGTCATGGCTCAATCTCCCTATTCCATCCATAGGGAAGTCCTGTGTCCCAGCAGCGGGGACATTAATAGGCTGATGATGATAAACGATAACAATTCGTTAAAACCCTATTTATTTATAAGTGTTATAAAAGGCCCGTGTATTTGGGTGGTGCTTTTCTGGTACATCTTGTGTAAACAACACGTACTATTAAATGTTCTAAATCTTAAAATATACGTGTATCAAGTGGACGTGAGAACTTTATTATTTATTTATTTATTAAGGAACAAACAGACATATGTTCATATTTATTTATTTAAACTTTATTGACCAAAATATAAACAATGGTACAAAAGGCGGACTTAATGCTAGAGAGCTAGCTGCAGAGTAATCTTAACTGCCTGCGCTGGCGAACAGGAAGCCATTTAAGTTGGGATCGATATGAAGAAACATGGCCAAAGTTGGGATCGATATGAAGAAACATGGCAAAAAGATGAAACGTATAGCATTGTTCATAAGGCGATCCAATTTATTGAGAAGATCTGCGTTTAAATCAGGATAACAGACATCGGCATAATCAATGAGAGGAAGAACAAGGGACGTAAAGAGAGTGATCTTAGTTTTGATGGGGAGAAAATTTCTGAAGCGATTAAGGGCACGCAACAAATAAGAAACGATACGGCTGACTTCGGCAATCTGCGTGGTCCAACTTAGCGTAGTATCAATATGAAGGCCGAGATTCTTAACGCTAAGGCTATATGGAATTATAGAACCTTAAAACACAACAGGTGGGAGCAGACCAACATCGATCTTGAAGATCTACTTGGAGCCACCCACTACAATAGCTTGACATTTGGTGGGGTTAACGGCAATTCCAAAGTCAGCAGACCAAGAACTTACAGTGCAAAGTTCCCTATTGAGCTGAGATATTCCAGCAGAAATTTCCTCAACAGTCGTCTGCACATAAATCAATTCATATGTATATATGTTGTTCATATGTAATAACATATGAACAATTTCATGTTAACAAACTGACCTAACAGTTCCATTACATATGAAATAAATTATATTGAACTTAATAGAAGAGGAATAACACCATAATTTAGAAAAGAAATTCAGTATAACTTTTGAGCCAAATGCTATAGCTATAATGCAATAAACAAAAATACAAACCACCAATCAGCAGAATCAATCACCAACACAGGTGCTGGTCTCTGTCTCAACAGACTAATACTCCAACCCCTCGCTTACCGCATTACATGTACGTCCACCAATTTTTTATACATATTCAAAGATGGAAAAACATATCATCTCTGCTGACTTCGTTACAGAAACTTACCGATAACGCTAGCTCGATACATTTCATGTTAAACACTCTATGAAATATTAGTATGGGTCACGACACCCCTTAATTAAATAATATGTCATTTATAAAAATAATGTAAAAAAAGGGAGAAAAAATCTAAATACGAGGCTATTGATATTTCTTAGAATCCTTAGTCTACCATAACGTGAGCATATAACCAAAAAAAAATATCTTATGTTACCGGCACGCTCTGCAACATGCGACGCAGCAAGTGCAGGTCGCGCTGGAAGACGCGCAGCTGCCACTTCAGCAACCAGTCGCAGCACAGCACTTGATGACGATAGCCACAGTATTGGCAGTACTGACCCGCACGCTCTGCGAGATGCGGCGCAGCGAGTGCGGGTCGCGCCTCAAGCCGCGCAGCTGCAAGTGCGGCGCCGACCCGCCCCCGCCACTTCAACCAGTCGCAGCACAGCACTTGATGACGATAGCCACAGTATTGGCAGTACTGACCCGCACGCTCTGCGAGATGCGGCGCAGCGAGTGCGGCTCGCGCCTCAAGCCGCGCAGCTGCAAGTGCGGCGCTGACCCGCCCCCGCCACTTCAGCAACCAGTCGCAGCACAGCACTTGATGACGATAGCCACAGTATTGGTAGTACTGACCCGCACGCTCTGCGAGATGCGGCGCAGCGAGTGCGGGTCGCGCCTCAAGCCGCGCAGCTGCAAGTGCGGCGCTGACCCGCCCCCGCCACTTCAGCAACCAGTCGCAGCACAGCACTTGATGACGATAGCCACAGTATTGGTAGTACTGACCCGCACGCTCTGCGAGATGCGGCGCAGCGAGTGCGGGTCGCGCCTCAAGCCGCGCAGCTGCAAGTGCGGCGCCGACCCGCCCCCGCCACTTCAGCAACCAGTCGCAGCATAGCACTTGATGACGATAGCCACAGTATTGACAGTACTGACCCGCACGCTCTGCGAGATGCGGCGCAGCGAGTGTGGGTCGCGCCTGAAGCCGCGCAGCTGCAAGTACGGCGCCGACCTGCCCCCGCCACCCCAGCAACTAGTCGCAGAATAGCAATTGTTGATGATAGCCACAATATGGGGCAGTACTAACCGGCACGCTCTGCGAGATGCGGCGCAGCGAGTGCAGGTCGCGCTGGAAACCGCGCAGCTGCGAGTGCGGCGCCGGCGCCGACCTGCCCCCGCCCCCGCGCGCCTCCCATACACCCGCGCGCACCTCCAGCAACCAGTCGCAGCATAGCACTTGCATCAACTGGAAAATACGATACTTTATGTTGCCGCCCTAGTGAATAATGCAGTAAGCTCCGGCATGTTTGAGAAAATGGCTTTTAAAGTGAAAACTTTCTCAAAATCACATCGGAGCCCTTATTGCATTCTTCACTAAGACAGCAGCATGTAGCTCTGAGCAAATGACTCCACACCAACTGTAGGAATATTTGCAAACTTTTTTTTCACATTTACAGTGATGCCGATTCTGGCATGATTATCTAAACTTAAAACCACCACCAGTCTCCTTTTCATCCTGTTTAGAGAATGACAAGGATACACTGGATTAGATGACCTCCGTGCCCGAGTGGTTTTTACGCCTGGTTCAAAGGCGTCTCCAACTCGAGAGGTTCGGGGTTCGAATTCGGTGGGGGTAGATGTTTTAGTGATGAATACGAGCATTTGTACTCCAGTTATGGATGTTTAATATGTATTACACATCCATAACTGGAGTACAAATGCTCTCATATAACGACATAAATATACTTATTTATGTATTATATCCGTATCCGTATTTATGACTGTTGTTAAATTAAATTTTAGGTTTAAAGAGTCATGCCGAAATCGACACCTTTATGTAACTTAAATCTAAATTACTCATCTATGTTTATCAGGACCCGACATATTTTATGATAACCATCGAAAGAGTTAATCATAAGGATTATTTTTTTCTATATAACTTTGCTAAGTTATATAACATGCTTAAATGAAAGAAAAGTCATGAAATTTTACATTTTATTTAAAATTATTTCACACAAACTAAAATAAAAACGAAACGGTGTGGGGAAAAAAATATCAAATGTTCAAAATGTCCGGACTAAATGCGATTATTACGCCGGTTGTACATATTAGATGGCCAGCGAGATCCTCAGATCTAACCCTACTGGACCTTTTTTGGTGGGGTTATGTAAAAGATGTAGTATACAAGAACCGGTACGACAGTGTGCAGGAGTTACAAAATGAACTCAGACATATTATTACAAACATTTACCATTTGCATACAACAAAATGGATCACATTTTGAACATTTGATAAATTAAATATTTTTTTCTTACACCATTTCGTTTTTATGTTAGTTTGTGTTAAATAATTTTAAATAAAATTTTAATTTAATGACTTTTCTTTCATTTAAAATGCTATGTTATTTAGTAAAATATTATCCTTATTGTTAACCCTTTCGACAGTTATCATAAAATATGTCGTGTTTTATTTTCGAAATTTCACGAGTTTGATTCCCAGTTGTAGCAGGCAATTTTATAAAAATCTGTGAATGCAGTTCTAGTTATTATTAAAAATAAAATGATGTCTTCTTTTGGCGATCAACAACATCCTATCTTCAATATTTAATATACTTTCCTTCCGTGTGAGGTAGCCGTGGGACGCCCTGTATATAGAGGTGGTCATATAATTAGAAACACTTCTTATGAATAAAGAAAGTATAATTTCAACGTATAACTGTTTGTCAAAAATAAACATATTAAATAATTAATAATCATGCAATAATATAGCCACTCAAATAAAAAACTCAATAAATGCATAAAATATAAAACATATCTTACTTCTAATTACAAAATGCGCCTCACACATGAAGAAGTTAATTTTCTGTTACTGACCGCTTGGACGCCTAATTAGAAACATTTAAAAAAGCATCCATAGCTCGTTTTTTTTTAAATTGGTGAATAACATTTCTTTCTTTGCATTTTCTATTATTTTGGCGGCAAATCAAAATTTAATCTGAATTTAATTTTGTTCAAAATGGGCAAAAATAAAAGTTGTGTCGTGTCAACTAGGCAAATAATTGTTAATTTACATATAGATCATAATTGGGCGTACAGAACAATAGCTGAGCATTGAAATTGTTCTGTTAAGAAAGTTTTTAATGCAATTGATCATTATAAAACACATGGAACTGTTAAAAATGTTCTTAAAATGGCTCGGCCAAGAAAAACCTCTCCCAGAGAAGATACACTAATCGCTAGTGTTGCTAAGAAGCTGCTCAAGTGGTCGGAAAGGTACAACGTGGTCATCATCCTGCGTCAGTGATGGTTTGATGGGGCGTCTAGATATAGTCTTAGATCATGTTGTGAAACCAACCAAAAAAAGTGTATTGCTGAGAACACTTTTTAAAAAAATATATATAATACCGTGGAATTTTCAGCAGGATTCTGCACCTGGTCACACGGTACGAACTACCCAAGTATGGCTTGAAACCAATGCTCCGAACTTTATAAGAGCTGAAGACTGGCCCTCATCTAGCTCAGACCTCAACCCTTTAGACTTCAAATTAGTTTTAGAGGACATGGCCTGCTCTAAAAGACACGGCGACATCGAGTCTCTTAAAAAATCTTTGGAGCAAACAGTGTCGAAATTTCCCTTGCAAACAGTGCGTAAATCCATAGATTCGTGGCCAAACAGATTAAAGACCTGTATAAAAGCCAAAGGTGGCCATTTCGAATAGAATATTTTTTTATTTTTTGTTGAGACTAATAAATATGCAGGTATAAATTTTAAATATATTGCATTACTTCATTTAAAAAAAAAACATTCTTATTTGTAACATAACTATATCACAGAACACTAGAACACAGAATTATATACCTAGTCCAGCCATAGCTGGACTAGGTATATAATTCTGTGGTAGCTAACACTTCCAGCGGTCAAAAACCGTTAGCGAAAAGGCCTACTATACTTACTCTATCGGCTCACTTAGTGTAACTGCGGTCTGTAGCAAAAATATATGTTTATGGTAGAGAAATATTTTTTGTAACACACGAAAAGATGGTTAATAAATCAGCTTCCAAACTGCGGAGGTAATAACTTTTTGCTCAACGTAACATTTATTTTTAGTTAAGGACCCTCATAACTTAAAATGCTAGCTGGGCCGATAGATGAGTCCAGAAGTGTATAACCTAACACGAACAACTAGCGAGAAAGTATTCGTATCGCCATGTCTAGTTTGTTCTTACGTCCGGTAGGGGCACTGCTTTTTTTACCTACAAACTTTGACGTTGGCGATACGAATACGGATCTGTCAAAGTTCGCGCTTTGGGTACTGATTTTAAGTGACGGTGAAATTCAATTGTGAAGACAGTAGGTGCTGGAGTAATTTATATTTTTTTTGTGTTGGAAGTACGGCCATCTATACCTTATGACCCGCCTGATGGTAAGCGGCTATCAATCAATCGCCTATTATAGACGTTGGTAACCAACGTTACCAACAATATCAATCGCGCCGTTACCTAACCTGACCCAATTCCTTACCCCGTCGAGCCCTGGAACCTTACCCACCGACAGTAACACAACACCACTGTTATTTAAGGGATTAATTATATACAATGCTCGATTTTCTACAAGAAATATCACGATTATAATTAAATTACAAAGAAAAACACATATCAGCTAGTTAAATGAAAAATTATACTTACATGCAAACACTACTCTCATTTAAAATCTACAAACAAATCAAAACAATCATAAATAATGCGATATAAAAAAAAACTTACTCAAAACATAAAAAAAACAAAACTGCAATCTTCAAAGCGGCGATAGTAACTAATGCGGGATTTGCCTTGTAGTGATATTGCACAAACTGGAAACAGGTGCAATGCAACTACAATGCACTCCCGAATTAGTTAATAGTTCCTTCGCAACAGACTCATAATGTTCGTTCATATCTACAAAACTGTACAATAAAAAAGAAATTAAACTTAATAAGAAACATGAGTTGATAACTTACCATCATAAGCTGGGTGGGCTGTTTGCAACAGTAATACGCGAGCGAGTCTGCTAACTTGGCTCCAGCAATGTCGCAAACCTACAAAATGTTTTTTTTTATTACAACACACACCAATTAGGCTTGCTCCAAAGTAAGCACTGTAAGGCTTGTGTTATGGGATGCTAGGGTAACGGATAGAATACATATACAGTACATATATAAGTATATTTATATAGAAATACATATTTAACACCCATGACTGGTGTACAAATGCTCGTATTCATCACACAAACATCTGCCCCCACCGGGATTCGAACCAGGAACATCTCGAGTCGGCGTCACCATGAAACCCAGCGTACAAACCACTCGGCGACTCGGTCTTTTTCTTTTAAATATCAACAATGTAGTATACATTAAAAATTACGTGTTGTCAACCCAAAGAATCTTCTTTATGTTTCTCTTGAAAAATATGCATATTGTCTTTGGGTAAAGATGAATGCAATGAGAAGCCTGATGGTTAGCGCGTTCAGTCTGCGATCGGGGAAATTAAGCAACTAATGCAATGGACGGTCATATGATAGGTAACCAAAAAATTTATTCTTTCTGTGCTTCGGAAGTTACTTATGCCGTTAGTACCCACCAATGGCTATTGGGCCCACGTGGTGTGTCATGGCCCAATCTCCCTTTTCCATCTATAGGCTCTACTCTACTACTCTAGCAGTGGGGGCATCGATAGGCTAATGATGTAATACAATAATACAAAATGTGACAAAACACTCGATAAAAAACATTATAAAATAACTACCGGGGTAGTTAGCAGGTAGTAAAGTATGTAATGTTTTTTATATATATTTTGCACGATTCTTTATCGAGAACCAAGCACCGAAGAAAGTCGAACGCTTCATAGAATCGCTAAATAAATCACAATACTACATTAATTAAAACAACTAGTTATCAATTTTTTTCAATTATTAACGTACCTTGAGAATAGTTTCAGACGTCTTCTGTATGGAGCGTTCATCTTGACACTGAGCGAGGCTTAACAGGCCGCGCCGGCTTTTGTACGCCATGTGCAGTGCCCTACAATAATAGCACAATAGCTATATTATCATCAGCTGATGTTTATGCGGCCGAAGACAATAGTTATTAATTAAGCCACTATAAACTATACAATCGTGTTTTATAAACACGCCGCGCCGTCTAGAGTTTCTAAGCAGTTGTGTGTGTGAAAACGATTATACTTCGGTAAGAAAATGTTAAATTTTTAAAAATAAATCAATAGAGTGTCAAATTACTTCAAACATCTAATTAACTATTCAAACAATTTTAATTTCACAAGTAAGGTTTTCGTTGCTAGCCTCATTTCTAAACCAATAAAGGACTGAGGCATAAAGATCAGGCTTTTTACATAATATCTACTAAGTTCTGAAATTCTGAAATATATAAATAATCGTTTAGCTCGATAGCGAACTTTGTCTGCCCTGAAAAAGTTTTAATAATAGAGAAAAGCAACGCAGTCTCATATAAAGCGAATTAAATGTAAAGAGATATCTGCACTATGTTTATATTTAAGTTTTTTTCTACCAAAAAGGTCAATGAAGCATGAAAACAACTATTCTGGTAAGAAATTTAACAATAAATATTCCCTGTTTTCCCCTCATGATGAGTATGTTCAAATGAGGTCCACATTAAGGAATGATTTCCTCTTTGAATAGAAGATTCCGATTAGAAAATAATGGTGTCGATTCTAGCAGGGTTCTCTAAACTTAAAACTAAATTGAACATCATTCTCTCCTTTTCATTCTGTGTAGAGATTGACAGGGATACACTGTTGTCAAATTTAAGTTTAGGTTTTATACCTTCACAGATAAATGCAGCTACAATTCTGCATCTCTGTTCTGTACGTTCCCGGACAGACGGGTGAGGATGGATAAGCGGCATAGTTCTTCTGCCGCATTAGCTATCTCCGCAACGGGAATCCACTCACAGATACAAGACATCAAGTGGTGTGTACAAAAATGAAGTGCTTTGCTGGGCCATGTAAAAAACTCCTTACTTAAGGCTTTACCGAAGTCTGGTTCTTCTGGCTCGATACAGAACTGGCACCTAAAATTGTATGAACACATATCGAAAAATCTCCTACAGAAGGAGGGTCTCTACGTGGCTAGTTGTTCCGGCAGCATATACAGACGATCTCATTGTCAGCGTCATACTTACATTTGACGTAAGGTGGTGTAGAGTAATTTGGTATGTACAAAAAAGTCCTTAACTTCCTTTGGGGCAACCTAAATTTGTAATAAAAACTTTTAATAGGCCAAACTCACCCAGGCAGAGGGTCTTCGGTGGTGGCTAGTTGTTCCGGCAGCATAAACAGACGATCTCCATACTCCGAGGCTTTGCCAGCGTCAGCCAATAACCATGCGGCTGCCACACCGACGAGATTGGCCCACCACTCCAGTATGGGGTCCCAACATCCTAAATGGAGTATTTTTTTGTGTTAACTAATATTCTGTTAACAAAAACTAGCGTGTTGCTGATGAAAGCTAAGATTTTCTGTCATTGCCTAGTGTAAGTTTTAGAATTTGTTCTTTTGATTGCCTTTTAATGCCTAAGAATATTTTTTTCTGTTATCTTAAGAAATGAGTCTCATTATATAAAATTTTGTGCACCTTTACCATGATAATTTTTTACTCACTGATTAACTAACTTGCCCTCTCCTACTTTTCTGGTACTATATTTGTTCTGTAGTTTACTTTTATACTCTTCACTGAAATACTGTTGTAATATAATTGAATATTTAACTTAACTCTCTATAGGCAATATTTTACAGATATAAAGTGTGTTTGGAAGATGAGTGCAAAGCTTTAAAGTAAAGCAAACAGAGACCATTTAGAAACATTTGAGCCATACTTGTCTTAGACGAAGTCTGAACATTTTATTTTTAATATTTTTTATTGGTTTTGATGAAAAGAACGTAAAAGTACACAGTTAGTTGCAAATAATGGCTAACTGAAATGATAAATGAATTGTTTTTGAATTTATTTGATTATAGAAATGTGAAAGCAATACCTACCTTCCGTGAAAAATTATCTGATGATGTAAACCATGTCAAAATCAATTACGTGTAAGTAAAAGAATACGTGTCCAATACTTATTGATAATTTACCTGATAGATAGACTTTCAAACAGAGAAAGTTTGTCATCATCCCTAATATAAGAAGTTATATGATGAAATAAGAAAACCAAACGAAACAAGCAAAGTTTGCTCTTTTTTCGTGTTCAATCTCTTTGATTAGTGTGACGTTTTCGCTTCACTATGTTTTTCCATGTGTCAGAGTCGCATAGGTTCGACATTTGTTTGGCAGAGGACGATGTTTAGTGTATTAAATAAAAAGTTGTGTACATCTACCAATCTTACCAGTGTGCTGCGGTGCGTCGGTGGAGACATCATCAGTGATCAATTTTATTAATTCCAATACGTCGCGCGTGTTACTCCGCTCGTCAACGCACAAGAGCATTTGTAGACTCTTCTGGAGTAGGTCTAAGTGATATGCCTGTAAACATTATAAGTATTAAATATTATTAAAATATAGAAAAATATCAAGCCCAAGATAACAAGGTTCAGGCCGGATGACGATAGTAGGTGATAGATAATAACGTGGCATTACTGAATCAGCAATCTTAAAATCTGAATACTTATTTATCAGTGCCTACTTATTAAGGCATTTTTTTTTATTGGGAAAATAAGGCAAGTTGTTTCAATCTAGACTCATTGTCCATTCTACTGTTCGATCGCAAAAAAAGAGACAGCTTCAACTTAAATAAAACTGACGTCTCTGTGTGCGACCGTGAAAGTCAGGGACGTAACGAAATGTTTTCTGGTGTAATCTTAATAAGAGACATCCGAAAATTTTCACCAAGTTGACCGCAATTGCTCACTCCCCCTACTTTATGAAGCAATCCTCTTACTAATTGGTAGAATAATCCCGCAAGTGAATCACCCTCATAGCATAAGCTAACGGCTCGGCCGAAGCGGGAAGTTTACAGAACAGCGCGGATGGAGGATGTTTTCGTTGGTAACTCCAGCGACAAGAACTCAACAAACAAGCTCCACATTCTCTTATTCCTCCTACTGACTGACTTTAGAACTGTTGGTGTAACCGTGAAAGTGACTCACCCTCACAGCTAACGCTAGCTAGCTAGCATAAGCTAACGGCTCGGCCGGATCGGGTAGTTTACAGAATAACGCCGATGGAGGATGTTTACGTTCGTAGCTCCAGCAACGGGACCGTAAGAAACTGTGAACCCTGGGACTGATCGCGCATGGCAGGCTCCGCAATCTTTCGCTCCTCTTACTAATTGGTGGAATAATCCCAAAAGTGAATTACCCTCATAGCATAAGCTAACGGCTCGACCGGGTCAGGAAGTTTACAGAACAGCGAGGATGGAGGATATTTTCATTGGTAGCTCCAGCGACGAGAACTCAAGAAACAAAAGCTACACTTCCCTTATTCCTCCTACTGACTGACATTAAACCTGTTGGAATAACCCTGAAAGTGACTCACCCTCATAGCGTACGCTAACTTTTAGGCTGGATAGGGTAGTTTACAGAATAACGCCGATGGAGGATGTTTACGTTCGTAGCTCCAACGACATAAGAAACTCTGAACCCTCGGACTGATCACCAACGCAGGCTTCGCATTCTCTCTCCTCCTTAAAAACTGGTGGAATAATCCCAAAAGTGACTCACCCTCATAGCATAAGCTAACTGCTCGGCCGGATCAGGAAGTTTACAGAACAACGAGGATGTAGGATGTTTTCGTTCGTAGCTCCAACGACGAGAACGTAAGAAACTCTGCCCTCTAGGGCTGGTCACCCAACGCAAACGAACGGGGGGCAATGAGCACGACTCCGATGACGTCACGCGGCAACGGCGCAAATAGTATCTGCCAAAGAATCGTGAGGAATAAGGACACGTAAAATAACGAGAAGAATAATGGCACAATTACATATGGTTACTAGCCCGTATTCGGGTGCACGAAAGACATTACTCTAATTCAGGCACCCGAAGCGATTACACTTGGTTGTTAGCTCGAATACTTCTTTCGAATATAGAAATTAGGGTAAACGACTAAGTGTAAATGGACGGAGCCGAGTACGCCCGTATTCGGGTAATTTCTCTTTTGTTTACCCGACACCGTCTTCTAACGCGTATTCCAGTGTAAATATTGCTACGGGTGCCCGCAATCGAGTAATGTTTTTCTTGCACCCAATTACTCATTTCATTTACACTAGTCGTTTACCCAAATTCCATTGGCACTCGCACTCGTATTCGGGCTAACGACCAAGTGTAATCGTGCCATGGTTTTTGTGAAATTTTACCGTTTACGCAGCAGCATACACAACAGAAGCTCACAAATGGAATATTTTTTACGTTTTTGCAACGTATTTCATTGGTGCTCTGTTATTATTAGTCGTAGTGTTATGTAAAATAACCTATCGCCTTCCTCGATACATGCACTTTATTTACAGAATTTTTCAAATCGGACTTGTTCCTAACATTAGCGAGTTCAACCAATCAAACAAACTCTGACGCTTTATCTATACATATAATAAAATGGTAGGAAAGTCAAAACTGTATAATGATTTTTTTTAAAAGAATACGTGGGGTATGATCTACAATCGATACTGAAGCCAAAAATAGTGTTTTTAGAATTTTTGGCTGTGTGTCTGTATGTATGTCCGGGATAAACTAAAAAAGTGCTGCATGGATTTACTTCAAAGACATGAATATTATCAAGAACATGTAGGCTACATATTATCACGCTAACACCTACGGGGAACGAGCAGTGTACCCTTTTGGGGTCAAATAGTATGTGCTAATAACTAACTCCACGCGTTTGAAGTCGCGGGCGGCCGCTAGTAATATTAATATACATAGATGAAAACTACAAACCCGCAAAGCCAATTTCCAATCTTAGGGATGTAATCCTTGAAGACCAATGCGGCAGTAACGTAAGTGTTAGCCAAAAGCTGCTTGTTCCCAGAGGTTTCCGCCAAATTGACCGCTTGGAGCGCCAATAAGACTCTCTCACTTCTTCCACTGTGACTTGATAAGATTTCCAGCTGAGTTAAACGATGTGAGATACTTGCTACTTCTGCCGCCCATCGCTGTGTTGCTCGTCTTGCAGAACTGGAAAAAAACACTTTCACATCATATAATCGTATAAGAAAAATAACAATGCCTTCTATCTACGAAAACTACTGAACACTTGACTGTGTGAACATAAATTACTTTAATTTTCAAATTATTAGAAATAAAGAAAAATGTGAGTTTTTAAAATGACATTTTGAGATTTCTTTTTCTTTAGCTACTACTTGTCATTGCTTCGAACAACCACGAACCACGCAGCACTGCGACGAATATTTTTTAAATGTACGTCAACAGTAAATATACTTTAATATGTTTTGATTCCCTCACAATGTTTAAAAGAGCTCTACAGCATAAACGAAATGAGTTTACTTAAGGAGTTAGATTTTTTCATAGCTCAAAGGGATTGAGAGAGTGAAGAATTTGATATTTATTCCACCTCCCCGCATTTTTAAAAAACAAAGTCTTAACAGACGTACTGCAAAGAGATCCTTTAACGGTTCTGTACAATATTACTGTTCTGTTCTGTCGGTTATGTATATGTCCCTATATCTATGAGCCCTAATGTGTATGCTGTTGGTCGCAGATGACCTTTACAGCGTCACCGGGTTTGGGGGCGGCGAGATCCTAATGGGACCTCAAGCCGCGAATTGGCGAGTGCCTCTAGAGGTATTCCAGGCGGATGGCATCTACCCACGGGGGGACTCTCCTCTCCGTCTGGAGCCTCTAGACCACTCGTACCTAAGGGGGTCGGCTCTAGTTAGCCGTTGTCGTGAGGGATGAGCCCAAGAACCTACCTATCACTCCACAAGTCACCGGCTCGACGCGCCAAATATCCGCCCAGAGGCATTCTCTGCAGCAACTGGCGGAGTACAGCTGCAGTTAAAGCAGTGAACTTTGCCTGCCCTTGGCCCCCTGCTTGTACACTCTTGCCACAAACTGCTAGCGATCTATGCAATTCTAATTGTGCATTTGTCACATCTCCCTGAAAATATTTTTTGTTTTATTAATGTTCATTGTTTAATGCCGACATTAATTAAATAGTTTATGGACAGAGATATACATATTTAAAGGCTGCAGACGCAAAATTGATTTATATGCATTGAAGACACAATGGTTTATATGCCCCGAGGTGTTCCCCGCGGTTTATTAGGGACATTTTTCCGTAGTAGAAAGTAGCTTATGTGTTAATCCAGGGTGTCAGCTAACTCCATACCAAATTTAATTAAATCGCTCCAGCCGTTTAGACGTGAAGAAGTAACAAACATACACACTGACACACTCGCAAACTTTTGCCTTTATAATATTAGTGTGATATGAAATACATTCTGAACCCGGCAGCTGCTAATGGTGCCTGCAGCTGAGATCGGAATAGCACTTTTAAACAATTTAAAAAAGCTAAAGAAAATTTTGGTTTTAATTTGGATTTTAATAAGTTTGTAGCATGATAATAAATTTACTGTATGACTTCCATTTTACCTTTTTCAGAAAGCTATCAGCTTGTTCTTTATGCTTATAAAATAGTCCAGCTTCTTTTGATTGAGACTTGGGCACTGAGTCACCATAAACTAAGAGTTTAACAAGACAACCTCCAAGAATCACAAAATTAATCAAGTAGATAAAGAAAGTGTTAAATAGCCAAGCAGCAGATGAAAGTCCAGTGTTATCTGTAAACATAAGCACACAAAAAAATATAAAATATTTGACTACTTAATATTTGGAAAATAAACTGAAATTATTATTAATATATATAATTTCAGTTTATTATATAGTGGATATCCACTAGCCTAGCCCAATCTACTAGAACAACATTTTTAGAAATATAGTTCTGTAACAAAGACTGTTTTAATTTCAAAGAAAGTTTACTCACAATCATAGCCTTCAGACAATATTTTCCTTTGATCAAGTCTAGCCGAAAAGTCACTGGAGGAAGATTCTGACATAAAGTTCCCAAGGAACAAACTGAATGGATTAAAAGCTATTAATCCCACCATGAAGGCACACAACGCCAAACGAGAATGATCTCCCATGCCCATAACAATTTTTGAATATTTCTCTTCCATCTGAAACAGCAAAGATAAGTTTCTTTTTTTGTTAATTTAATTGCTTTTTGTAAACCAATTTTATATGAGTTCGAAGCAGTAAAAAAGTAATTATTATGATGAACTGAGGAGCTTGATGGCGTAGGTGGTTGGCGATCGTGAAAGTTAAGCAAACGATCACAATTGTTCAGTTATTGGATGCGTGACCAAAAGTAAAAACTATCTCGAGCTCCTCCGTGCTTTGGAAGGCAAGTTAAACTGTTGGTCCTAACTATATCTGTAGTCGTCAGCACCCCTGCTCCCGTACCTGTCAGGTTAAACTCTAGGCGTAACTGCGAGATCCAGTTATGAGTCGCCGCTTGTCAAGCCTGGGTTCCTACCCCCCGGCGATGGTGCCGCGGAGCACCCGCTCCCTGGCAGTCGCAGAAGGTGCCGCTAGAGAGTTTAGCAGCGGGCTCGGCAGCGGCTTCGCTGCTGCGCCTACGACAGGCACTCCTCCAGGGTGTGCCGCGCCGTGTCCAACGCAGCGCCGCACTTATGACACAACGGGGTCGGCTCCCTCCGAATCCAGTACAGATACTTACCGTAGCATCCCTGCCTGGTAAGAACCTGCACCAGACGGAAGGTCAGCGACCCAGTAGTCGTCAGCACCCACCAATCAGGACTGGGCCTGCATGGTGGGTCAAGGCCCAATCTACCTAATCCATCCATATGGAAGACCTGTGCCCCAGCAGTGGGGGCATTAATTGGATGATGGAATAAGTATATTTTTATAGAAAGCAGAACCTACCTTGTATTCTGGTGATGATGGAGAATCACTATCTGTAGGATGTGGAGAGTGATATGGTGATGAAATGTCACTATGTGGAGGAGTGTAACTTCCTTCAAATGTAGATTCTTTGACACCACCCTGACCCTTCTGGTATTTCATTTTAAGTGCCATATTCTCTTGTTTCAATCTTGAATTCTGATTTTGAAGGTACTTTATGTAATCTATAGTTTTTCTTAAAATTGCAGATTTATTCAGCTATAAATTTCAGAAGTTTATATATTAATAAAATATTTTACCAATTGAATTCCTTTATATGAGTTATTTGTTTTAGTTGATTAAATACCCTATAGTTACTTATTAAAAATATGATTATAATACCTGGAAACTTTAGTAAAGAATTCTTAACATAATTCATTTGAAGGACTGTTTACCTTAGCTTCTTCTCCTACAAGCATATTCTTAAGTTCTACTATTCTGTCATTGATACTGGTTCTATATCGCCTTTCTATAGCATTGTGAGCACTTCGCTTAACTTCTTTTACTTTAGGAGGACCAATATTCGGAGATTGGTTCAGAGTAATTTTGTCACCTTCTAGCACAACTGGTATCCCTGTAGTCAGAAGAGCCCCACTGTTACTTGTGAAGAATGTATGAATAGGTCTTTTTTCTGAATTAGATTTAGGATTTAAAGTATTTGGTGAAGTTCCTGTAAGTAGAATTAAACAAAAAGATATTATTTTTTTACAGTAATGTATTTTATGCCAAAGAAATATTACTTAAATGGAGAGAGTGGAATAAAGGCTTGCGCATACTATAGCAGAGCACCACATCACAATAATTGAATCATTAGCCTTTGGCAACCCAAAGCAATGGATAGTCCTGATGAAGAATTGTTTACTGTTGTTGTACATCAGGAGAGCATGATTGCCCCTTTTAATGCACACTGTGGCCCAGCGCAGTATGCGTGAGCCTTAAAGCAATGTCATTTCATTGCTATTAAACAAAAAAATATAATTTTACTTTGCAATCACTACTCAGCATCAACCACCAAAAAAAACCTGTTACTAATCCTTTTCAATTACAATAATTGGTACCTACTAAATGTCAGAACTTACAATCTTCTAAGACTTATTTTGAATTTTATCAGAATATTGTAATAGATTGTAGAATAGGGGTACTTATTAATGCCCGTTCAAAGCAAAGTTCATAATTTTTCTTCTACATCATACTACATACGTAACTAATTGAAAAGTGTTTATTATCAACATTTACACCAACCTTGAATGGGAGCAGTGGTGTACATCAAAGTTTGACCATCTGTATTGATTAAATTAGATTGTAAAATCACTGGTTGGAAGTTTGCATCTGTGGTTTTCAAAATAAGTGGTGCAATTCCTTTTGGACTATTTTGTATCAGCAACGGTTGTGTTGTTTGAGGCGGCTTATTGACTTGCTTGATTTGAGGTACACTATCTAATTGGACAAAAGAACCACCACATTCTGGGAGCTGTTGTAAGTTAACATAAACAGGCCTTGGGACCACTTGTTGCACTATCATGGGTCCCTGAGGAGCAACTCTATTTTTCGGAGCACGTGGCGTAATATCTGGAACTGGTATGCTTTCGTTCGATTGGCGCGGTTTAAAGCTTTCTGGGGACACCTGCATAGGAGTCGGCTGTACATTATTATTACGAGTAACTGGCGATGTCTGTTCAGGCTGCCTGATTGAGTGAGTATATTGAGAAACTAGTGGGTTTCCTGGGCTATGGTAATGCGGTGATAATTCAGGTTTTGGTAAAACTTCATTTTTAAATTGGGTATCAACACTTATCAGTGTAGAGTCGTCTGTAGTCGCAAGCTCTTCTTCCAATTTTTTCATAAAAGCATCGTCCCAATTATTTAGGAAATCTGTAATTTTATCAAAAATTTATTTATTTATAACATGCTTTAGCTGATGAAATCATGACAAAGGTTGAAGCAATTTATACCTGTTATTTCAGATATTTCCTGAATATCTAAAGAATCGGGATTCAAGAAAGCTTCATCTTGATCCATTTTATTAAAAAAATAAATAACTTAGAACTATCACATACAAAATAACATAATTTACTTCTTAGAAGCACTTTTGTTTATATTTTTTGGCATTTACTTTATTCACTGAGATTGTCATCTGATGATTCTTATCCACCAATGAAAACACTGGAAAACAGTGGTATGATTTTACGTCATTTTTTTTTTGTTGAAGTTCTTCCGTTTTAGGGAAGGCAAAGGGAACAATGCCCATACAGCCTAGTCTTTAATTAAATTAATCTTCTTTTTTTTTACATTAGAATGTCGGTGTGACGCATTCTAATGTTTCTTGGAGTGTTTGGCACGAAATGTATCGAGTTGGCTTTTTCGATAAGCTTCTGTGAGGTAGTCAACACTACAATTAAATTCTCACGTCCACTTGACCGGAATAGCGTATATTTTAACGATTCCACTAATTCTTCAGTTACGCAGACGGTTGTTACACAAAACCACACCAATTTTACTTCACAATATCCACTATGAACGATTTTAAGAATAATTAAAATAAGACGCCAACCGCACTCGATGAAATCCCGCCAAAAAAACCGATTTTACGTCAATACATTGCTTTCACATCGGAAGGCAGAAGATACCGTGTTTATACGTCGCCACCAGTGCTGCCAACTCGGATTTTGAAAAAGGCGTAGGCCCGATGATAGTAGACGTAGATCTACGTACTTTTTTCTGAGTGAAATTAAGAAGTCAGGTGAAACCGAATGAAACGAGTATTTTGTTATACAATTTCTTTAAAAACGGTAGATAGAACAAAGAGTTCTTGGAGAAATCACTGCATTGGAAGCATTTACCACGCTGCGGTTGACCATAACCATGTGGTATTATAAAACCATGATTTCTAATAGATCACATGAAAAATAGAGTTAGTTTTCATAATACACTTGGTAAAAGACTCTAGAAAGTTGTGGTTAAAATTGCCAAGAGAAATAATACATACACTTATACATGAACACATGTTAAAAACTTACTAATTCCTGTAACTTTATCGACTGAAAGTCATTTCTTTTTGCAAACATCAATTCGATGTAAGTACTCATTGAATAATATTTAAAGTTTAAAAATTTAATTTTTAAGGTTACGAATGTACCTACTAAGTCAAAGAGTTTTGTTGTTTCTCCTTTCACAAATCCTGCTTCCAGCATTAATTTAGTCAACAAAACCAATGACGGGAACCTTTGCTACAAGATACAAGAGTTTTTAGATATATCTTTATAATAAATAAACATTTTTATAGTTTTTAAGAAAAGTAACGGAAAATATTCTTCTTTATTCTAGTGAATTAACTTATTTTACGAAAAAATTAAAGAAAATACGTAGATTCTGGGACTAAAGTTAGTAGGTTTGCAGAAAAGGCCTAAAATACGTAGATCTACGTAAAAAGACGTAGAGTTGGCAACACTGGTCGCCACCGCGCTGTTGCGCATTAAGCCCGGCTTATATTTTTCTGTCTTGTTTTGTCCTGACCGGCTGATGTGATGCGTAGCATTCATGCGCCTATTAGACTACCTAATTTTAACACGATCTTTTAATTTTAGACTGAGTTAGGGTCTGATTGATAGAGCGGTGTAATAATTGCTACCGTTACAGGTCGCGGCACGTAACTCTAACGTTAAACAAAATGCGGAGAGGATAGCTGGGTACTGTCGCGTACGCAATACAAATTAGTAGTTTAATCAGGTACCTACTTAATAAATAATGTAAAAATAATGTTGATTACATTATTTTAGTGTAAATCTTTAAAAAAAAAAACGACGGGTTGCACTCTGGGAGTGCCGGCAGAAGTGAAAACTTGAATACCTATTAACGTTGTGCATTTTTGATATTTTGGAATGTTTAGGGAATAATTTTGCACAATTTTCTTTAATTAAAGTACTATCATTTATGTGGTAGAATACAATATTTATTTATTGCGTACACAAACATGACAATTTATATTACACTATAAAGTTTTTCTCTCAGATTTACTCATTTAAGCGCACCTAGCGACATCTATTGTAAAAAAATGCATTTTCTTCGCAATAAAGCTGCCACCTGCCCCCGTAGCATGAGCACTACAATTTACATTATATCACGTTTTTTATCGCGTCTAACTGTCAAACTCCATAGTAATTTGACAGTTGAGCGTGATAAAAATGGGTTATATATCATATTGCGGTGCTCATGCTAGGGGGACTGGACGTCCTAGATACAGACTTATTATTATAATACGATAAAATAAAATATTACTATGATTCGTCCAATATATTGAAAGTCAACAACCTTTCCAATTTTATTGTTTTCGTCTTACGAATTTTTGATTTATAATACGATAAAATAAAATATTACTATGTTTCGTCCAACATATTGAAAGTCAGCAACCTTTCCAATTTTATTGTGTGTAATGATGCGATCAGCCCACGTGTTTAACATTTTTTACCCATACAAAAAAAAGTGTACATCAGCGCTAAAGAAGTTTTCACTTCTTCGCAATCCCACAACCCGCAATGTCAAATGAATACTTTTTCAAGTATTAAACATTTGAAAGAAGAAATAGCAATTAATACGGCCATCAGGGCCGTGGTAGCATAATTGGTCAGTGCATTCGCCCGGATTACGAAGGGTGCGGGTTCGAGTGCCATCCGCTGCCTGGTCCGTGTGGATTTTTTTCTAGTAAAACTTTTCTTTAGATTTAAACATCTAGCAGTTAAATGCTTAAAAAAAAACCGGCCAAGTGCGAGTCGGACTCGCGCACCGAGGGTTCCGTACAAACCTGCAAGGTTTACAAAGTTCGTTCATTACGACAATCGAGTCATAACTATGGTATTTTTATTGCAAAATGAAATTCATAACATTACAATGGGGAAAGATGGAGGAGCATAAATTTAAGACAAACATCTCTTTATCGTTTAAGTAATCCTTTATTTTATATTAACACATATCATTTATCTATAATATAACTGAAACACTTATACTAGCCTTGCAGCAGACTTGCGAAAGTTCTTTTATTAAAGTTATTTATTTACTAAGTTTTTTAGTCACTATTTAGAAATCTGGTTCAAAATATTAATTAAGTATTAAATTTGAACCAGACCTGTAAATGGTGACTGAAAAAGTTATGAATAGTACCACATTGAACATTGAAGTTCGAAAAAACGTTATCAATAGTTGTCCAACTTCGTGTAGTGCTACTGTTTATTAACGGAAACATGTTTATGGATGAAAAATATGTGGAAATTCCATTTTGGGGATTCATTCTAAAATCTATATTGAAGTCTCCCACAACAATCAGACGAGAAGATGAAGTGTACATATTGAGGTTGCTGCCGAATATTGTTGTATTTATACATTCTATTGCAACATTAATTTGACATTGTGGTGACCTATATACAGTTATCACTCTGATATTAAACATTTCAAAATGCAAGCATTCACAATGGCCGTTTGCAGCGCCTATTTTTTAATAAATATAAACTTATTACTTGAGGAAAAAAGTAATAAGTTTATATTTATTAAAAAATATATATTTTGTAATGTAACCAAAAATTTAAGGTTTTCGGAATTTTTCCTTTATGTGTGCTATAAAACGTTGCTTCATGCCAAATTTCAAGATTCTAGGTCGACTGGAAGTACCCTTTAGGTTTTGATTCCCTTGCGAGTACTTGCGAGTTTCAAAAGATGCAGCTTAAATTGCTGTTTCTTTTGATTGCGTTGACATAGAAGTTTGATTTTGTTACAGCTTAAAGGTATTATAGACCTGAGTATTTGGTATGAATTTCAATTTAATACCTTTACGCGTTTATGAGGAAATGGGTAGTAAGGTTAAAATTATTAAAAAAAAATATATTATGTGATGTAACTAAAAATTTATGGTTTTCGTAATTTTTCCTTTATCTATGCTATAAGACGTTGCTTGGTACCAAATTTCAAGATTCTGAGTTCACGGGAAGCACCCTGTAGGTTTTGATTCCCTTGCAAGTGTCGAAAATTTGCGGCATAAACGGCTGTATCTTTTGATTGCGTTGGCTTAGAAGTTTGATTTTTTCACAACTTCAAGGGACAGTAGACCTGAGTAATTGATATAAATTTCAGCTTCATACCTCCACGCGTTCCTGAGAAAAAGGGTCTTGACAGACGGACGGACGGACAGACGGACAACAAAGTGATCCTATAAGGGTTCCGTTTTTCCTTTTGAGGTACGGAACCCTAAAAAACAACAAATAGCTTAGCGGTGAACAAAATGTAGAGGTTAGCTGCTATTTGGATACTGTACTAAATATACTAGATCAATATTAGGTTAGTTTAATATTCAAATGTGCCTGAGTTCTGTTGTCGAATTAATATGTTTTTAACAATAGATAAGTTGGTTATGTACTATTAAACCAAAACATAAAATCAGGCTGTTATAGTGCTTGTAATACCTACAACATAAATCTGCTGCTTGAAAGGATGGGCGTTTTTTGACTTGCTAGCACGGCACCAGCGCCAGCGGGGAAGCTAAAATGTATCATATATTATGACCCCGTGCTATTAACGTAATGGCTAATGGAAAAACGAACATTTCATGATACCCTACGATATAATTTTAACAAGTTTATAGGAAGTAGAAAATAAATACATTATAAAATTTGACAGTGGTGTCGATTCTGGCACGATTCTCTAAATCTAAAGTTAAATTTGACAACAGTAGTGTATCATTGTCATTCTCTATACAGAATGAAAAGGAGAGACTGATGTTAAATTTAGTTTTAAGTTTAGAGAATCACGCCAGAATCGTCACCAGTATTTATTTTAGATATCAAGTCTAATCTAGTCCGAATTACATATGAGCCTACTGAAGTCTCCTATCAGGATAGTGGAAACCTGCGAGTTCAGCAGGGCGTGGACATCAGACGCCGCATTATCCTTTTCAGTAGGTGCCCCTAATTATCCGAATCAGACAATAGTATGATGACAGGGCCTTTTGCTTACTGGGGGCGCGTGCTCAGGGCTGCTTCGGTCGTTCAAAGGCCAAGGCTATCCTCTGAACTGTCACTATCAACGCAAATGATGAAATCTCCTGTAACAACAAAATCCACGATATGATCACTCTTGGCATATTGCTCTTCTATATCCTTTGCCTT